GAAAAAAAATTGTGTTTTGTTTCAATGATTTTATATATACTTCCACTACTTTACATTACACATTAAGTTGGCATACCAGTTAGAAAAATTTCGGTCTACAACCACAGTACCTTCCATAGAAAATAGTTGCCATATGATTTCCTGGGCAGACCCCAAAAGCAAATTCAATCACAAAATAGAAAATGACTACAACTAAGTACTTGAGTTGCCGAGAAAGGATGGGAATTGCTTAACTGGTTTTGCAAAAAAAAAAAGAACGGAATTTTGAGAATGTGACGAGAACATGGACATGGTGTTTTTTATGTCTAGTAATTTGGTTAGGTCAATTCAAACAAGAGAGAGAAGCGATTTTGTTAGGTCTCCAATTGATTTTGAGTGTTAATGCTTTACAAATTTTTTTACCACGTAAGTATTATAGTAAATTTGTTTTAGTAAGTACAAATTAACGTGGCCGATGCTCATGCTTTCGTTTAAACATTCTTTGCCCACTTAAATTATTATTCTGTACTACAATAGCAAAAAGAATTCCAAGCCTAACATACAAATCAAAAAGCAGAAAAAGAAGAAAACAATTATACTTGAAAAATCCTAATAAAAAAATATAAAGTTATGGATCGTTGGATACAATCATCTATACTATTAATAAAGTAATCTGCTGAATTTAATGTCATTGGATCAAGTGACACCAACTCAATTAATGAATTAGCAAAAAAAATTATATTAAATTATAGTAAAATATATAATAAAAAATATAAATATATTTTAATATAAAATTTAATTATTTATTTAATTTTATGTTGAAAATATTCAAACATGGAGATGCAAAACTATCCAATACGATTACTGTTAGTTAACTTTGGTAGTTCTAATTTCTGTCAAATTCTTAACTTGAGCCAATAATGAATGGGCTCAAGCCCAACTCTGAATGAAACGTTAACTTTGGGCCCAAAGTTTAGTCGCACTGAAATAAAAATAGAGGTTAGATTTGGAAATACATATGAGATAGTAATAACTGTAAAAACAGGGAAGGAAGCAAATTCTGTTTTTTTTTTTTTTTTTTGTGCGTGTGTGTGTGTGTTTAGAATTCAAAGTGTTTGGTTGAATTTACAGAGGATATCAAGAGAACAGTGACAAGTTCCAAATCAACACCGATTACAGGAGTCACAAGGTTTTATACATTTTTTTTTCTATTTAAATTTTGTTGAAATGGGTTTTTCTCGGTTTGGGTTAAATTTCCTATTGCGGGTGTTTTGCATTGGGTTGAAAAACTAGTGTTTGTTAATTCTGCAGGTAGAATTGCCCTTTTTCTGAGGTTATTTTTTTTAGGTATACCCCATTGTTTTAAAAGACCATCTTTTTAATGTGCATTATGTGTTAGTAAAGGTTTACTTTTGAAGCCCTTTTTTTTTAGAAAAAAATCTTATTTAATTTTTTTTTTCTTTTGGTTGCAGATATGTTGGTACTTTACTGATTCTTGGGAGCGGTTTCGTATTAATGGAAGAATTGATGTTATTGATGGATCCAATCCCGACACCCTGAATCTTCAAGTTAGACAAGAATGAACCCAGCTTTGAGTGCATTGTAAGAACCCATTTTTATTGCTAATATTAATGACTTCGGAGTTAGGACTATGGTGTTTTCTATGCCTCCAGAATCAACAATTTATCCATTAAGTCAATTATAGTTATCAGGAAATTTTTTTAGGTCCTTCATCGGGCCCAGTTGTGCATTTTGTCAACTGGTTCTGGATGCTGATCAGGTTTAATATCTTGTCTACACTTACAGTTATGTTCTTTAAAAAGCGGAAAAAGAAGAAGTTTGAGGTAGAAATGGGAGAGGGAGAGGGGGCTATATTAATTTCTTCATTTTATTGCTTCTCTGTTAATTTTTAGAATTTATCATAATTTGCTGGTTGATTATTTGAATTTGAAGAATAATCAGAGGCTTAAGTTTATATCCACACTAGGTCTGGATGGAGTGGAAAGCTGGACTTTAGAGAGAATCAACCCATAATTTCTTTTTTCTGTTTCTAAAACCATCCTGTCAACGCAAATTGGCATCTTCTTAACCATTTTCTTTAGTTGTATACTTTAATTTTCTCTCCTGCAATTGATTTCAGATATTCCCATAAATAAATAAATATCCTTGCTTCGTGCACACCTTTCAGTAAGGAGAAGGTATAGATCACGTAATAAGACTCATGATTACTTTCAAAAGAAAATTTACTAAAAATGTAATTGGATCTGCAATCCTGTTTAAAACCCCTAAATGCATGTTTGGTTAAATGCAACTTTGTTCAAGAAGTTACACTAAAGTTGTTTAGTATTAGCTTGCAATGGAGTCTTATACAAACTTATAACTGTTTCACATGCCATTGAGTGCAATTTGAAGCCCTTGAAATCAGTAGTACAGATGTCTGAAAGCCTCTAGCTAGGATTGAACTCTGCTCTTTTGATAAGAAAAAACCATCTTCGATCTATACTCTCTATATGTGTTCTAACTTCTGAAAGTGATCCTTTTGTTTCTAACAGGTGGTCGTTGCCAATCTTACTAAATAAGGATGAATACTTTGCTCCTTTGGAATAGATATTAGTTGGGCTGTCACATGGATTGTAGTTGCACATTTTATTTATTATGAAATGCTGTTCCTACCCTTGTTTGCACCCTGCGTTGTGTATTAGATAAAACCTGTTGACATTTTGGCTAAATAATTCATAATATTATTATGTCTAATATATATGGTATTATGGTACTGCCAGTTTATTGTAGTATATCCAAGGCCTAAGTACTACATGAATTATAATGAACAGATTTAATTTGTTGAATAAGCATATATATAATTCCTGCATATCAATTCTACTCTTCTACATCCAGGTATCTCAGATAAATATTACTCCAAAGGGTTCTTGTTTTAAACTGTTAGTGTTTTGGTGGATTTTTTAGCTTAAAATCCCAAGTAGGCGATTTTTTTCCTTTTCCCCTGAAAGCCCATGGCACAAATGTGCAGCTGAGCATTGTAATGGTCAGTCAGATGAGCTCCAATGGGTTTAATTTGATTCATAAATGGACAAACGCCAAGCTGCATTTTTTTAAGGTACACCAAATTCTTCTGAGATTTAATGATCTTTTATTAGTATTCATCCGATACTGGTAAGGATCACATGAAAAGCTGGTGACAGGCATTTACCATCTACCTTTCAAAGGTTATCTTATCGTTTTGATAAATCATCTTTCATCTCAGTTCTTCTGACATAACAATTTGCTGATCGACAGTGCTAGCTATGTTAGTCATGTTTGAATATTGATTCTTGGTAGCTTGCACTCTCTATTTCACTAGCACTTATCAATTTACTATTTTCATCTATAAAGCCATTCCTAGACATTTTTTTAACAAAGTTTGCCACTTAAAAAGTATATGTGGGTATTCATATTGTAGGGCAATGTATGGATTAATTTTAAAAAAATGTATAAATTAGCATTTAAAGAAATAAAATGTATGATTTGCACCTTGAATTTTTAAATAATGTATCATGTTAATCTAAATTTAATATTGTTAACTTAATTATCCTATATGATATCTAACCGGTATAAATTTATTACATGAATGTCATTTGTTAAATAAAAGTATTAAATATTTTGTAGAACCTTCATACAGATATCATATAGATATAATGTGACAAACAATAATTGGTCAATCTTAGATAATTTTTAATTAAAGAATATATTAATAATATGTGCGGTGAACATATAATTTGGTAATATTTATAAAATATATTCATATGTATTAGCTTATATGGTTAGCAATATTAGAGTTTAGGTTTAATCTGATACATAAATTGTATATTTTATTTTTGGGTTAAATACAAAATAGTCCATGTATTATACACTTTTTGTCAATTTGGTACCTAATAAGGAAATAAAATTCTTATTTTAATATTTAAACTTTCATTTTGTCATGTGCTTTGGTATTCTAGTTTAACATTATTAGTCAATTTGCTTACGTAGCATTAATATTCAATAAAATTATAATATATGACATAAATATTTAGTCATGATCATATCATCTATTTTCCATGTCATCATTTAAATAAAAAATTCAAACATTTTAAAAAAATAAATTTGGCAATTCAAAATTTTATAAAAAATAAAAAATAAAAAAGAAAGGAAAAGAATAAGAGAAAGAAAAAATAAAATTTTACTAACATGACAATAATTGGCATGTCAATGATCAGATATTTATGATACCTGATATGATTTTATTAAGTATTTATATCATGTTAAATAATATAAAGTACCAAAATATTTGATGGAATGAAAATTAAAGCATCAAAATAAAAATTTTATTTTCTTATATATCAAATTGACATAAAATGTATAATAAGAGGGTATTTTACATGTTAACCCTTTTTTTTTTTTTTAGCTATCAATTTGTTTCTCCAAGTTCAAAGCAATTAGGATATTCATCTTCAATTTCCGCATAGTTTGCCGCTTAAAAAGTATAAGTGGATATTCAACATTGGTCGGTCAAGCAATTTGTCATAATTTCTTTTCTGGTTCTTGAACAATTATCAGAACAGTTTTTCCTCCGAAGTTAAGGGATACCCAATGGGAAGCAGACTCTATGACTCGTGTTATCTCTAGGTAACGCCCCCACCTTCCCATGGAGGACAAGCCCCTTACATTCCATTACCCAAACTTTTATAGGATTCACTAAGCAAAGCGCAAGACATGAGGACCAGAACTTCCTTTCTCCAATCCTTTCGGTTCAAGCAACTAAACTTTGCATTTTGATGGAAGAACCAAATATTTTAGTGTGGTGGTTGACTTGAACTACTATTTTGTCCAATTTAAATAGCACTATTAATTCCTAAAATAGCTTAACCTAGCTTGGGGTTCCCCAATAGTTTGGATATTTATAATCCACAGCCCAAATAGCCGAAACAAAAAATGTCTACTATGGGGAAAAAAGGAAAGAAATTTGCAGTTTTATTCCTCCAATTTTTACTTCTTTTGATACACAATTTAATGTTCTAGAAGAAATGGACTAGGCAATATAACACAATTTGCGCCAAAAAGAATCCTTGATCAGAAAGATCACAGGAATCCATTTCGTTTCCATTTAATAAAATCCAAGGGCTCTAGCACCGGGGCAGGTCTGCAGGAGGATGAGGTAGAGTCTCCAGGTCACCTTTCCCGTTCTCCACAATCAACACCGCACTTAATCCCCATGACTGGTGTATGTCTAAGTGGCAATGCATAAACCAAACCCCTAAATATGACAGAAGAATCCAATTGTATTCAATTAACAGCAATATAACACTAATAAAGATCTCAAATTTGAATTGCCATTTTTCTTGTAAAAAAAAAAGATCATACCTGGATTGTCAGCAACAAATCGAATTGCTGCCCATCCTCCTACTGGGACTCCAATTGTGTTCATATAAGGTGGATCAATCAAGTTAAAATTTGCAGTCTGTGCATTAAAATTCCCGGTACCATATCCGATAACATAGAAGCTGTAGCCATGAAGATGAATAGGGTGGTTTTCAGTTGTGACTGTGCCGGTGTCCTGGAAGATAATCTGCACCTTGCTTCCAAATTCAATGACCTTGGTCCTAGTTCCATTAACGGCCTGTGTGTTATTAGGAGCATTATTTGGTGCCCCATTGACAAAGTCATAGAAATGAAGGGGTGCACCTGGAAAGTCCTCAGTGAATTGACCACCAATCTTCTTATAGTAAGCTTCCAAAACAGAAACAGTGGGCTTGACAAAGCTTATATTGTTCATGGAAGCTGCAAAAGTTCCATTGTTCAAGCCTTGGCAGTTTTTCTGTGGTGTCTTGGATCAGCATTCGTTGACATTTAATCCCACGGTGACAAACAGGCTAGTATCAATCTCTTTAGGAACTTTAACAGGTTTAAGGCTTCTAAGACCATCCATGACAGTCTTTACAGCAAGGTTATCATTAAAGCTTGGTAATTTAGCCGGTAATGATATACTGCTAGGGACAGCACCTAAGTATTCGAAGTAAGCAATGGCTGATACGCTTTGGAATGGAACATTCTGGGCAGACATGTAAGGTCCCATGGCCATGGAGTACTTTCCTATCGGCTGATCAGCAGTGACAAGGACATTCATGGTCTGCCCTGGTCCCAGCATCACACGGTCCGTGGTGAATGGCTTGGTGTACTCAGCATCAGCCTCCACAATTGTTAATTTATGAAAAGCTATGGCAAAGAAATTCTCCATGTTTAATCCTGCATTGATTAGCCTTAACAAATATGTCTTCCCTGGAACTATATTGATCTTGTAGACATCTGCAAACCAGTAATTATATTATTAGATCGATATATCATTAGGTGGCATGTCTTGTATTAAATTATTGCTCATAACTACCTTTTGATTGCACATAATAAGTAAGACTCGTTTTATTTTATCCACTTTACTTATGATTGAATAATCAAAGCAGGCGATCTAATGTAATTAAATACTCTAAAAGAGTTACGGTTTAAATTTGTTTTATACCATTTCTGGAGCAATTGTAGTTAGGGCCTGGGTGTCCGTTAATGGTAAATGCATCTGCTGGTGGAGAACCTCCTCCGCTTGCTAGAACTTGCCGCTCAAGTTTTAATACATCTCTCAGCCAATACTCCCCTGCCACATTTCCAGGTAATCTTCAGATATCCAAACATATTGCATCACATTATTTACAATATTTCAATATATTGGATTAAAGGAGAAGAGATATACCTAGGATAACGATATGCTCTTCATAAGGGTGTTTGAAAGGGTAAGGCACCCCTGTTTTAGGATACACAATCAAGGCACCATAAACAGTGGCCCTAAGCCAAGAAACATGGGCATGCCAGAAAAAAGTGCCCTTCTGCTTCACCAACGTGAACTCATATGTGAAAGTCTGGCCAGCTTGAATGGGACATTGGGTAATGTAAGATGGACCATCGAACCAGCATGATAGTCTCTGCCTGACTCCATGCCTGAAAAAAATAGCAAGCAATGATTGGTGATGACATATAATTGGTAGAGTTCTGGACTTTTCCGATTAATTAGTAATCTTCATGATAGACAATACCAGTGAATTGTGGCATTGTAGGGGGTCTCGTTGGTGACCTTGACAATGATTCTATCATCCTCTTGGGCGTAAACGACAGGTCCTGGGAACATTTTGTTAATGGTGACAATCTCTTTGGCGTTACACAGTTTTTTAACTCTCAGGGTTTGTACCTTGAAATCATAGAACCTGGTTGAGCTCCCTCTAGGCCACTCATGTGCCATAGCATGGAAAGCTTGGAGATACGATGAAATTGACAAGCTTAAGCAAAGAAAAAAGAAAGTTGCTAAGTTGGCCATTTAGAGGGAGAGAGATAGAGTTGAAGTGGTGGAGAGGAGGGGACAATTTAAAAGGGTGAAGCCATGTAATATTTTAAGCTATGGGAGGGAAAGTTGAAAGGTTTTGTCTAGGGGTCATATTTTCCTCAGCTTTCATGATTCCTCTAACATGGTTTCATGATAATAAGGTGTTGGGAGCGTGATTATTCGGTGTGACCCAATGTGGGGAAGATATTTAGTCATCTCTGTCTTAACAGGGAAAAGCAGATTATCTTTTCCTTTTTATTCATAATCTGTTAACGGTTTCCCATTTAAATTATGTTGTTTGACTGGGAAATATGCACTCTGGCTTCTAGATTCAAACCCCACCTCAACAGCTACCTCTCTACTTTGTGTGTAATATATGTTTGCCTATACATTATTTTAATGTTTACGTATAAGCATGTCTTCTATTAATATATTACCCATGGAACTTGAAAACCAGTTAAGACAAGAAGGCTTCCATCTAGGTCCATGAATGCTTAGCCACACTGACCAAGATGTGTTTTTTTTTTCTAATAGTGGTTAACCTTCTATATTGTGCCGAACTGCTCCAAACCAGGAACATTTATCTCATAATTCCAATGCGAAAACCTCCAAGGCCGAAAGTTCATTACCATATATCTTGCTTGAAAACAAGATATCTTATAAAACCATACTAAAAACTATCTACCTAGCTAGCATTTTTCTTAATGGACAACAGTTGTCTACTATCAATTTGTATCTGCTCTTTAATTTATACTATATTTATATTTTATTTATTTATAAAGGTACAACCCCCCCCCCCCCCTTCCACTTGAGGCCTGTTATGTGCAATAGATGAGTGTTGATTGAAGAGAAATAAACAAATTAAAGCAGCAAAAGAAAAGCTACCAAAGGCAACCGATTGGGCCAACCATTGCAAACTCCGTAGTACTCAAATACAGCAAAGGCGAGTAAAGGATGGGTTTGTTTGTTGTGCTTTTTTTAGACACCTGCCTTTTTCTAAATCATAAGCAAAGTTGGAACACGCCATCCTAAACCTGCTTTGGTGAGAAGGAAAATGCCAAAGAGCACTCTGGACTCTGCAGCACGAACTTCCAAAGCTGTCTTCTGAATCTTTGTCTTCTTTTTCCTCCCAAATTGATTAGCCATTATCTTAGGATTGCTTATTATCTCTTGATTAGATTGCTAAAACTAACCGTTTCATTCACCTTTCATTAACTTGACATCAACTGTTTTTCCCTTTTCACCTTTATGACTTCAGAATCTTTTTCTATTTATTGGGGCTGGGAACTTTGGATATGATTTTCTGGCACGTTTGATTATGGCACAACCCACCATATTCGCCTTAGATGAATGAAACCCATTATGTGATTTGATCCTTCAAATTGTGGAATGAAAAATTTTCTCCAACGTGGGTTCATTTTTGTACAGTAATCACTTTGGTTGACAATATTATGTAGTCCTCTAAACATTTTTTCAATCAAGTTAAACCATAATTTTCAGATAAAATCCAGTAGTTCGTACTTTATTACTGATTAAAAAAAAATAGGTGTACTGTTTGCAGGTGGGGTTAGAGAGTTTTCCAATTAATCTAAGAGAAAAAGGGTATGTATATTGGAGTCATTGGATGATTGTGTCGTGTGGCAAATGAATGATGTTGAAACTTCAATGTCACGTTACAGGCCATGTGTGTGTGATTCTGGCTGCTACCCTGCTTCTAAAGCTTGTGGTTTTCTTAACAAATTTCAAACAGGCTTTCTCTTTTCTTCAGTTTCTCCAACTCAAAAGGGTCGTCAAGAGTTTATGGTATAAAGTGAGCAGCTGGCCTAAAGTGTCCACGTAAAGGAAATAATAAAAAGGCTTAAGCCACATTTTAACTAATGTCTTCGTAATTAATTAATAATATTTGTTCCCATGTAACAGCCAAGTAATAAAAAAATTGAAGATTCCAACTGTTGCATTGCGAAGACCTTTGTTTTTCTTTCTTCCTAACAATTTTTTTTTATTTTAAAAAAGTGTTAGTAGAAGTTTGTCTATCAACATCGTAATCTCAAACAACATGACATGAAATGCATACGTGCATTAATTTAATTATATATAGTAGTTTTTATATATGGAAATTATGATTCTCAGTGAAATGAACCGCTCGAGACAAAAAGGGTTTAGCTCAATAGAGCTGACTCTTATCTTTTTTACTCTATAAAAATGGATACTACAGGCAACAGCACAACTAACTTAATAAGATAAAGAAGGTGCTTTCAACTCTTTCAATAATGCTAACTAATGATTTCGTATCTAAAAATATATATTTTCCCACTTCCCCGTTAATAAATGGAGAGTCGGTGATGGATGTACGCAGGGCGACCTCAAATCCAGATTCTAATATCATGGAGAAACAGGGATTTCCTTTTATCGTTCATCACTTTTCTAGAAAGACTAATATATAGAAGAAAAACAAAATTAAGTACTAGTATATAACAATATTGATTTGGAAGCTTCAATTTTATGATGTCCTTTGTTACCAGAGAGCTGTGCTTTAGACAAAGTGATAAACAGTAATTTCATGCCTTTTGTTTGTGTAGTAAGTAGCAGCATGCACTATCATTATCATGAACACCATTTAACTTGCTTGTTTGCTGGATATGGAAGAGTAAGACTGAATCAGGTCTCCTTGGTATAATTAATCTCAGAAAAAATTTGCATCACTTGACAAATGAGGGGGAAAAACATGTTTCTCTAAAAATGGTCGTTGTCTTTATGATTGCAAACACAAATGGTAAAGCCGTCCCTGTTTGCCTGCTTTCCTGATACAATGCAATCCAGTTGCTACTCATTTTCTGTTTACTAATCAGAATTGACGGCAGCGCAATCTTACATTCTGGGAAACATTAAAATAAATATTTAACTGGAGAAAGTTTTTTAATTGAAAAAAAAAAGAAACAACAAACATAATCTCTAGTTTGGGTTACAACACAGGAATGTTAAACCTAACTTTTTCTCGCGTCCCTTGAGAAGTATTGCAACCAAGTCATAGAACTGTTTTTGATAGCTAAATTCAAAAACAGGATTGAAATACTCATTTCTGGTTACCGTCTGTTCAACTATTGATCTGAAATCTTAGAACATTCACTGTGATTTCAGTTCCATTCCCATGATTACAACGATCCCACATTCTGACAAATACAGGTAGCCATCAGAAGTTTAAACAGTTTCTTCAGTTTCCAATATATTTCCACCGGACGTATAAGTTGGCACATGAGATGAGATTCCTATAATTAAAACAAACAGGCATCAAGGTACTCCAAGTGTACAGAAAACTTGGCTTGGTTTGCTCAGGAAACAGATATCTAGAAGTTCCTACATAAAAAAAATGCCAAAGTAGCAAAACACTGCATTTGAGTGCAAAAATCTGGCTACCTTGTGCGATGCGGACCTTCCAAGGACAGCCACGGGATTCAAGTCATTAACATACAATAAACATGCATATAACTTACATCACCAGTAGACGAAATTTGTAACCAACGTTAGTAACTTCCTCTATTCTAATATGTATTTTATTCAAGAAGAAATCACCCTTTATCCATTACCACATAATAGGATAACAACAGTTACTTTCCCTTCTAGTCCTCTGTTGACTCATGGCAACTGGATGTCTGGCTTTTTCAGTGAGGAAAAGAGGCAAAGTTCAGTTACCAAGAAGCAGGATCTTAAACGAGAAGCGAGCAAGGCTGTACATTATCCAGCATTGTGTGTTGATGTTGATTTGCTGGAAAGACCCCAAGGATCAATAAACAGCCTTGCCATGATTCACCTGACCTTCTTAAGAGGCATAGATGAGAAATTAAGAGCAAGGCACTGTAAATTTCAAACTCAAAGCACTGAACTTAGCCTTTCTATGTATTAACTCACCTTTGGTCTGTGCGGAATTTTCTTTCCCCTTTTGCTCTTTTGATTTTTTTTATTTACTATTCTTTCACACAGCACTCATCCTGAATCAGGAGCATCTACTGCATAGAATTGCATCCTCAGGCCTGATAAATTTGTTTCCGTTTCTGGTCAGAAATCCCAAAAAGGGTAGGCAGACAAGTAGACACACCTAGCCAAAAATCTCACAAGCTGTTTGAAGAACCGCAATCATGTCTCAGGATTCTAGTATCTGGATTTTGATAAAAGGACTCTGATGTCCATTTACAGGAATGAGTGCTAGTACTTTACGACGCATTAATTCTTTTTGTCGTATGTTGTGAGGAAGGCCTAATTTGGTCACTACTAGTTAAGGATCCAGAGATAAAAATGCAATGTTTGACACCTAATATTCGACCATAGAATATATACAATGAAGACTCCTTAAGAACACTAGATGAAGAAACAGTACTTTCCGACACATTAATTTCTTTTTGTCATATGTTGTGAGGAAGGCTTAATTTGGCAGCACTTGAACTAATGCCAATCCTAGTTAAGGCTCTGGAGATATAAATGCAATTTTTGACACCTAATATTCGACCATAGAATCTATACGATGAAGATTTCCTAAGAACACTAGATTGAGAAACAATACTTGAATTAAAATACTATTGCTAATATTAGAATTGTAATACATCAACATATACTAAACTTTATTGATTCAATAGACAGCAATATGTAATCTCTATGGTTTGATCAAGCTAAAACCTTCTGGCGTATGAGGTTCTGAAATTGAAAATGATGCATCAATGAACCATAGAGACAATAGGTGACAAATTTCCCCAGATGCTTAAGTGAAAAGAGCTTTCACAAAGTCCCCAAATCAAATATCTAGCAGTTACGATTTCATCTACCCAGAAAATCATTGATAAATAATTAAAGCTCTAGCCATAATAAATTCTACCAAAAAGAAAAGCAATGAACTCTGTCTTATCTGTGTTCAAATTTAGAAAGTGCATGATAATATATCAAGTGAACGTATTAGAATTCCAGGGTAGGCAAAAGGTTTTATATTACCAAAATGACCTGTCTTGACTAAGAAAGCAGAGCTCCCTTTCAAGGGGAAAGAGAAATGATCCTACCAAATACACAATGAACGCAACCAATAATGAAAACCTAAACAACACTTTCATTACTGCATCTCATCCGGTTTAGAAAACATGTTAGAGAGCTTAGTGAAAGAACACTATCACTTACAATGCCCTTGGTATTTACTCTTCATGTGTAACTTACCTACAATTAGCAATAACTCTACTTGAAATTCCAAGGAATCGTGGGCATACAATCAAGAAAAATCACCAATAGCTCAAGTCCAATTAAACAAAGAAAAGCAAAAATGAAGTCATCAAGAATGAAATTCATTACAATTGAACATAAACGTAGCTATTCTAGTCATTGGCATTAGGGATGCAATAATTCAGTTAAAAAAAGATTTTGTTAGTAAAATATAAACAACAGTAACAATTAATTCACTCGCTCACGCTCAAAGACCATATTCATGGCTTGTACCAAAATTAAGTTTCCAGAGAACATAAGACAATCTCAAAATCATAATCCCAGTGAAAAAAAAAAGTTTGTGAGATGAGATCATAATAATATGATACATCCGCAAAGAAGTTGAAACTTGTAAAGCTTCATCATCCTCCAAAAAAAAAAAAAGGCTAAAAATGAGAATGAAATTCACAAATTCCATTGAGATTATCATTCCAATAACAAAAGAAAGAAAAATATTTACATCAAACTATAAACCTAAAAACATTATTGAAACATATACAAAGAAATAAGAAAAGTAAAGAAACAAAAGGAACAAACCCTAGAAGATGAAATCATCAAACGTTGAGGTTTTTGGCAGCGGGGTGGGTCCCAGCGGCAGGATGGGGTTGGGGTTCATCGTGAACAACGGGCTTGGTGAGCATGAGAGGGCAGTCCTTGGCTTCCTCCTCGTCATCCAAATCGGTGGTACTGAGATTAATACAGGAGCAGCGCTCCAATGATGCAAAAAATGCGGAGGCCATGCTGGCGCCCACCCAGGTAGCCATACGATCTAGCTTGTCGCACGATATGAAGGTGAAGGTGTTTTCCATAGCCTAATTTGATCAAATTTTTAGATGAGGTCTTTTAATCACATATGTTTGTTAATCAGTCGTGTCAAAAATATACAGATCGAGAGAGGAAGAGGAGGCAGACGGTACCTAGTTGTAAAGAGATATCAAGTCAGGGAGAAAGAAATCAAGAATTAGAATCTTTCTTCCGTCAGTTGCTTCTGCTTTCCTTCTTTCTTTCTTTCTTTAACGGATGTGATTCTATCCGTTGGCGTAATGTTAAGCAGGCTAGAGAGATTGAATGGAATGGGGGCATTGCATTTTATCCAATTATCCACTAGTGTTTGTTTTCCCCTTTTTCGTTTGGGTTCGTTTAAACGTTGAGAGTCTTTTTATGAACCCGCTGCCAACCGCGCATCTGGTGTAGTGGTATCATAGTACCCTCCCACGGTACTGACCGGGGTTCGATTCCCCGGATGGGCATTTTGAAACGTGATGCTGTGCTGCTCTTTTCTTTATGCCTGTCTTTTCTCAAACCAACCTACCGTAAATTTAAATTCGACATTTCAACCATCATAGGCGCGTTTGGATGATCAATGCCATTTAGCCGTGCTATACCAACTTATTTATTTGAGCATTAAACAAACATTAGTAAGAGAACACGCCCAACCTATCAACAGAGAAATAAGTGTTAAGGAGGTAATTGAAATTTCTTATAATAAGTATAAATTTACCTTCCAACCCTTTATTTGAAATTTTTCGTTAGCGAAATGTTATGTGTAATGCATGTCTTTTTAATTATGATAAATGATGTATAAGTGGCATCTTTAGAAGTATAAATGATCTACATATGAATTTTTTTGGAGCATATCTTAATCACTTTCTTGGATGGACCTTACGAGTAAAATCTTGTTTTAGACTTTTAGTTTATTGAGTCTAACATTATTCTTTTGTTAAATTTTTTCTTAATTAAATTAGGAGTATTCATTTAATTAAGGTACTTTTTTATCAAATAAAAATAATATTTTGATAATAAAACTTTATACATCACCTTAGCAAATATTTCTCAAGAATAAAAAATACGAAAGATTGTTAGGTACTCTTAATCATAAAATAAAGAAAAAAAATATACATGAATAATTTAAAGAAATATTGTGATACTTCAATTTCATATCAAAATAATTTGAGATTTTGTTATAATATATATGTAAAAATTTAAAACATAAATTTATGAGATGTCTTTTATAAGATAAAATTATAAAATTTTTATGTCAAAATAAATAATATATCGTAAATTATATGTGAGTCTCTATAAATAATATTAAAGCTGTTATTAATCAGACGTAAATTACATGTTACATCGTGAAAGCCACCTAGAGTTAAGTGTTACACAGAAGAACCATATCTAAAACCCTAATATCTGGTATAATCCTATAATCTGTATGTACTTTATATTATATTTACCTAATATTTAATGTGATTTGGTGGCTTTGTATACTTTTGTATTAAGTTTGATGGGAACGTCAAGTTTTAAATTCAAATTTATAAAAAAAATTTTGTAAGATAAAATTATGAGATTTTTATATCAAAATAAATAACGCCTAATAAATTAGATGTAGATCTCTATAAATATAGTTAAGAAGAATGTGATTTTTTAATATATATTATGCAAAAACTCAATTTATGCATAAAATTTGTCGAAATTGTATTTGAGATTTGTAATTTTTCATTCAAATGAGGTAGGTTGATAAAGAAAATTTTGTCTATGATTTTGTAATACAATCAACGAATTATAATATGGCTAAGAATTATAAAATGTCAAAAAGACTTTCTTCGTCAAAATAATTATTTTTTATAAAAAGTTGAAAATAGATAAAAATAAAATTATAAATAAAATAAAATAATTTTATTTTATGTTTGGTGACCGTAAAAATTAAGATAAGGGTATAATCATTTTTATCTGTCGTAGAATAATAGTTTTTATCTTTTATTATATTTATTATGTACAAAATAAAGTCATCGTTAATACAAGAGATAAAGGATAGATGGAAAATGGATAGGCAAGCTTGAATAAGCAATATAATAATAGATATCCTCTCTTACTTTTTATAAATAAACAGCTTCTAAAACTTTTATATCAACTTAATTATCGATTTATTAAATGCAAACAAATGAAAAAAAAAAAAAAAAGCTCACGTCCATCGCTAACTTATAAAGTTAAAAAATTATTTAAAAAATATCAATATATAATAACCAAACGCCTCTTTTTTTTTTTTTTTTTTTTCATGAGAATAAAAGGTGCGCATATTTCAGTTTTATTTTAAAAGCACGAAATCATCCACTCGTAAATATCAGAGAGTACATTCTTTACGAACAGATTATTTTTAGTCGAAAAAGAATAGTAGCCATCTATTCATATGATAGCGACAAGTGAAATAGGTGAAAGAAACAGCAAGGGAAGTTACGGCACAGCTCACAATCTGACGGGAAATAATGGGCGAATATTGTTGCACAACAACCAGGGGCGGGACCTTCCTACTCTCAGCCAATCTAGCATAACACTACAATAACAAGCAAAGGAGCGGTAGCTAGGAAATGAAAGCGAAACCACCTCGCCCCCTTCTTACAAGTGAAGTAAAAATATGTTTTAGAAAAAGAAAAAACGAATGAGTAAAGAGGAAGACTCTTCACGCTCATGAAAGCCCTTGAAACCTGTAAATTTTCTCTCGTTCAATGGATTTCGTATCTCTCTTCGTTCCTTTTTTCTTTCTAAAACTCTTTATTAAATTAAAGTACCCAAATTCTTTGATCATGAGACGTTTCCTCCAAGCAACCCTCCACCACCACCGTCACTATCATCACCATTTGTAATCATTCATTTCATTCTCTTTTCTCTCTTTTAAATTCTTCATGCTTGGTTTTTTTTTTTTTAATAAACAGACAATTTTCCAGTTGCGAAGAAAAATTCGTAGCCAATGCCGGGTCTAGTTTCCGCTAAAACTCCACCCAATGCGACGCCGTTGCGGATTCTCCTATCCGGAACTGAAAATGCTGGCGGCTCCAAGCGAACCCTATCTCCATCACCTTCGGTTTCACGTCCCAAGCCAACAAAAAGAACCCCAGATAAAACCCACATTGATGAATCCTCTCTCGACAATCCGGATCTGGGTCCGTTTCTCCTCAAGCTCGCCCGAGACACTATCGCTTCCGGCGATAACCTGAATAAGGCCTTGGATTACGCCATCCGGGCGTCGAAATCATTCGAGAGGTGTTCGGGTCCGTGTTTGGAGCTGGCTATGAGCTTGCACGTTCTGGCCGCGATTTATAGCAGTTTGGAGAGGTTTAAGGAAGCGGTTTCGGTTTTGGAGCGGTCCATCGAGGTGCCGGATATGGGAAGCGGGCCCGATCATGCGCTGGCTAAGTTTTCTGGGTGTATGCAGTTAGGAGATACGTACTCAACGATGGGTCTATTGGACCGGTCCATTGAGTGCTATGAGTCTGGGTTGAGGATCCAGATTGAAGCTCTAGGGGACTCGGATCCTAGAGTTGCTGAGACTTGCAGGTAATTGACCGTCCGTTATTTATTGATTTACCGTTTAGTTGGTGAGTTGGGTGCATGTTTGTCTTTGGAGGGTGGAAGTGCTACAAACACAATGCGCCTTGTTTGAAACGTCGTTGAGGCTTGTGGGCCCAACGTGTAGCGTTAAATGATGGAACGGTAGGTATGGGCCGTTGCTTCGGGATGCCCTTTGAAGATTTACTGTCAATACACACTGTCACTGCAGCAAGCATACTGGCTTCTGCTTTCTTAAATTTTTCGTAATAAATTGCTTTTATTTGATTATTGCTTGAAACTTGAGGAATTTTTGAGAAACAACTACAAGCCTATTACTGGTGATCTGAAAGGCTATTACTGTAATAGAGAAATAAGGATTGGCTTTAATGACAATAATAATTGACTAAGTTGTTATAGACATGTTTGCACTTTGCAGGAATGACTTTGTTTCTTGTGACCAGGTTCCAGTTGATAGTTAGAGCCGTACCACATTGTATTGCTAAAGGATATTCCATAAATAACTGGTTTCTTGTCTGCTTCTGTTGTTAACAAACAGGTTGAATTTACAATGTTGTCTCTTGCACACTGCTTACTGACTAATGCTAATCCGCTGTGTGAAAAACAATTACCCTTAACAGAGAAATTAAACAACCATGGCGGAAAAGAAAGGACTAAAAAATTGAACGTTGTTGCAGTTTGTGTATCTTGTTGTTTACCTGTAGGTTTAGATACGTTCTCTGTCATTACTAAATATGGTGTTAAAATTAAGTAGCATAACTGCATTCTCAACTGACTGAAAATAACAGGTATTTAGCTGAGGCCCATGTTCAAGCGATGCAATTTGGTGAGGCAGAAAATCTCTGTAAGAAGACCCTTGAAATCCACAGAGAGCACAGTGCACCAGCATCCCTTGAAGAAGCAGCTGACCGCAGGCTTATGGCTCTTGTGTGTGAGGCAAAGGGAGACTATGAATCTGCCCTTGAGCACCTTGTCCTTGCTAGCATGACAATGATTGCTAATTGTCAAGAGAATGAGGTGGCTGCCATTGATGTTAGCATTGGCAACATTTATTTGTCCCTTTGCAGATTTGATGAGGCAATCTTTGCCTACCAGAAGGCACTTACAGTATTTAAATCCACAAAGGGTGAAAGTCACCCTTCTGTGGCATCAGTCTTTATTCGTCTTGCTAATCTTTACTACAAGACAGGCAAGCTAAGGGAATCCAAATCCTATTGTGAGAATGCCTTGAGGATATATGCAAAGCCTGTCCCCGGAACTATACCAGAGGAGATTGCCAGTGGATTGACTGAAGTATCAGCCATCTATGAAGCTTTGGATGAGTCTGAAGAGGCTCTGAAGCTCCTTCAGAAAGCGATGAAGTTACTGGAGGACACCCCTGGCAACAGAAGCACCATTGCCGGAATTGAAGCACAGATGGGTGTGATTTTCTACATGGTTGGGAGGTATGGGGAAGCTCGAAGCTCTTTCGAGAGTGCTGTGGAAAAGCTCCGTGCTAGTGGGGAGAGTAAGTCAGCTTTCTTTGGAATTGTATTGAACCAGATGGGACTAGCAAGTGTACAACTGTACAGAATAGACGAGGCCGTGGAATTATTTGAAGAGGCAAGAAAGATATTGGAACAGGAATGTGGCTCATGTCACTTAGAGACTCTTGGAGTTGATAGCAACCTTGCAGCCACCTATGATGCCATGGGAAGGTGAACATTCTTCCACATTCATTCTTTGTTCTTTTTTAAGTCATTTACCATGTAATCCCTGTATTTTGTTTTAACTGCTCTGGTTACTTGTTAGGTATCTGTATCTATTATCAAACTGTGCATGCATTGAAAATCTTCATGAGTGGGCAGATTGTCTAAGAAATCATTTATAGTCAATAACAATAACCTTCTCATATTAGATAACAGCATATCTACATTTACCCACAAGGTGGCAAGGGTAACTTTCTGTCTAGTCAAAATCTCTTTTCGATGCACGTTAGTTATCTATGAAAGTATGATGATGAGGCTGACCTCCTATTTATGATATTACTGGTTTATGGTTCTTAAGGACAATGTTACTAGTCTTATTAAAACACTTAAAACAATTTACAATATGCTTATTTGAAGGACATAGCAAAAAAGGGTCCTTGAACTACATATTGAACTTTTTACATATAGTTGAACTGCATCTACCCCACCTCTGTTTTGGTTTTCTCGAATCTGTGACAACTGAAGTTCTCTGCGCCTGCTATATTGAACAAGTATTTTTGTTACGCAGGGTGGAAGATGCAATTGAAATATTGGAGTACATCCTTAAGATGAGAGAAGAAAAGCTTGGAACAGCAAATCCTGATGTTGCTAATGAAAAGAAAAGACTAGCTGAGCTCCTGAAAGAAGCTGGAAGGACACGGAACAGAAAAGGAAAATCACTTGAAAATCTTCTTGACGCCAACTCCTATAGAACCAAGGACAGTGCAAAGAGATGGTCCACGTTTGGTTTTAGATCTTGACTGAAGCAAGACACTTGCTCTCTATGCTTCTTTTATATTTAACATAGAAAATCAGCTAAATATCAATGGTCTCATCTTAGTACTGGAGCCTCCATGCTCCTTGATACATATGTTTCAAGTTTTTCTTTTCTGCTTAACTTAATTTGATTGTTGATTTGGATTGGACTGGAATTGGATAAATGAGTTTCCACCAATGAAAATGCTTAGATGTTTTTGAAATTTTCTATTGAATCTTTCATATCAGTTGTTACCATAGAATGAGATTTTATTTATTGACAATTATCAAATTTCTGTTGTCATGACAATGAATCAAGTCATCAAATTTAAAATTCTAAACTAGTTGTTTAGAGTCAAAATAGCATTATCTATATATAGTAATACGATAAAAACTACTGGTTTTAGAGTATTAAATAAAAGATGTGACTCCGTGCACGAAATATATACATGCCGTCTTATCCCACCTCCACCTTTGCGAAACGAGGAAAATTCAGAGGCCAGACAAATGTGGGGGAGGGTGGTAACTCTCCATGCGATCTGAATGGATTTGTCTCTCAATTCGTGGGCTTAAAAATCAAAGAATGATGATGATACTTGTGCAAGCAGCCTATGAAAATGGTTAAGTATTTTCCATGCGAGACCGCTACGTAACCTAAAAGCCAATGGGCAGTAAAAGAATATTTTATTACTCGTAGGCCTCTGACTTCTGCGTAGCTTGGAAGGAAAACATTGTATAGGGCGATTCAACTCTTCTACTTTCTCATATTTGCCACCTAAGATGCTAAACTGCTCGACAACTAGTCAAATTAACCAGCTGGGCAGGTGCACCAAAGTATTAGTTATCCATACTTGGACCGATGCAGATGATGCCAAAGCTGAAAAACAGATCGGAAGTTGTTGAATTTCTAAAACCAAGCAATTTCGGTGCTTGCAGTCTACTTGTACCTCAAAGCACCGATAGTCAGAACAGGGTAAAGATTTGAATCTAATGAAGCTATATAGAAATCAAATTTGGGTACCATTTTCTGCACTACAAAATGATAATACTTTTTATAAAATGCGAATAAACACCATGGTTTGGGTTGATCAAGTGCCTTTTTAGTCCAAATATCGAAGTACTTTTTCTTGGAATAACAGTAAGCAAGTAACTATAGTCAAAATTTATGGGTGGGTTTCAAGGGTTAATGAAAGGGAAGAGACTACCAGTCCAACTGATGAATAAAAAAAAAGAACACCAGAAGCTCAACATTGTTTAACATAGTCAAGGTGTGTCATATGAAGTCTAGCTTGCAACAATACTAAGTATTTCTCAAATGCTGTCCATGGAAAATAAAATAATTAGTTGGAAATATGGAAGGCTCACTAGTCATAAGTCGTAACGACATATTCTGTCAGACAGTGACTAACAGCGAAAAACTATAGTTTGTTTCGTGAAAAACCCAACTCTGCCAATGTTGTTAGTTTCACAATTTTCAACAATACCATATTGTAATTCTGTCTTCAAGTGGCCGCCTCCCCAACTTCCCAGCACTAACATTTGGAATTTTAGGCCCTAGAACAAGCAAGCGGTGCGTATAGCCCTTCTTGACTTCCTACAGCTTCTTTTCTTCTTCTTATATAGACTTTGGTTCAGAACATTTAGTCCTCAAAAATGAGTTTAGAAGCTCAAGCAAGGGCCAGGACCCATCAACCCTGTGCTGCTTGTAGGATGCTACGCAGGAGATGCGACAGTAGTTGCATTCTTGCCCCATATTTCCCATGTAATGAGATTGAGAAGTTTGCCGGGGTGCACAAGGTTTTTGGTGCTAGCAATGTAATCAAAATGATTCAGGTTGGTAGTAATTAACAAGTTGCATGTACATCTGTAATATTATGATAATCCTGCAGGCTGCATCCTCTTTGTTTTTAATATTGGTTTATTCTTATTTGGTTATTTTGAATTGCTCTGAGACATTGATATTTTTCTATGACAAGAGATCTCTTGTCATGTTTATTTGTAAACCTATTAAGGCATGGTTATGACATTTTGATACCAGATGGTGGAGGAAACAAACAGGGAGGATGCTGCCAAAGCGCTAGTCTATGAAGCAACAGCAAGGATCAGAGACCCTGTTTATGGCAGCACCGGAGCTATTTTCCAACTGCAAAAGATGGTGCAAGAACTTAAGATGCAGCTTGAATCGACAAAAGCTCGAGTGTTGGAGTTGCAGCAGCAAAAAAATCAATTGTTGGGCATTCTTCTGAATGTTAATCATCTTGATCTTCTCTCTCCCATTGATCATGGCGGCAGTTTCTCATTGGATTATGACGATTCTATGGCCTACGATCCGTCCAAATTCCCTGTAGAAAGTGATTGGATCTTTTAATGGGAAGTTCCATTAACATGTTGGTAGATCTAATTAGAACAAGGAAAATCTGGGGCAAGGTATCCTCAGACTAAAGCATAAGTTCATAAACTGCAGAATTTCAAGGAAATATATATATATATATATATATATAGTAAATTTAAAAATACTTTTTACAGTCTACTTGTATCATTGATTTCATAAGATTTGTTGCACTGAAAAAGAAGAACTTCCGCTTCCCTAGGATGATTTAATGAACCCCACACAGGCAAACTCTTCCCAAACTTACTTTTTGTTGTTGGAAATGTATCTTGATGTTGATGTTCGTTGAAAGTTGAAACTGAGAGATCCTGAAGTTATCAACTTGACTGCTAATGCTTAACCAAACTTACAATTGGATGGCTGTTGGTCACTTTCTAAAATTGGAAGACATAAGAAAAAAAAAAAAAAAGCTAAAAAGGAAGCCTTGTTCAATTTTTATTCAAGGTCCCTCCTAATTCAATATAAAAAATTGCAATTCTTTCATAATTAAAAATAAAAGTTTTGCGAACAACAACATAATTTATTAATAAAATATTAAATTTTCAGTTCTAACGAGAATGATTTAATTTTAACAATTTCAAGTAAAAAAATAAAAAATTTCTTTAGAACATATTTTCTAAATAATTTTTATATTTTTTCTTACTCAAAAAGTTAAGTTTAGATTCTCTTATTATCCTTAATATTAAAAAATTATTTAATTGTAAATTTAATACTACTAATTATCATCTAACATATAAATCCAGGCTATTATTAGAAAAAGTTACAGTTCTAAACGCGGTAATCTTACTGTCCGAAAGTTTCACCATCTCTGATTTCATCACGTCCAAGTTTCACTTTTCAAAAAGAAAAAAAGAAAGATGGACACTGTATAAAAAACTCTTTTTTCTCGTTCCTGTTCTCCTCTTAACTCTGCATCGTGGCAACCATTTGTCAGGGCCAACTTCTACTTCTCAAAACGCAACCTCCCATTCAGAGGTGGAGCCCACGGACCACCTCCCGCTTTCCCTCCTCACATCTGAACTCATCCTGCCTGCCCCGAACCGATCCCAATCCTCCATCGACCGGTTATCGGACTTTGCCGGTTACTCATGGGTAGCCTACTGATCCTCCTCTCTCCTTTTGATCTCTCACTTTCCTTCCTCTCTCTCCTCCGAATAAACTCTTATGGGCCCCATATTTTACCAAGTTATATGATTACTTTATTCACTGTCTGCAGCGATGGTTGATAATATAAGATAAGAGGGTATTATAAATATAATTAAATTAAATAATATTATTATATTTTATGATTGATATATATAAAAATTAAAATAAAATTATTTATTTTCAATATTTATATAATTAAAATTACTAATATAATTTTTAAAAATATAATAAAAAATATAAATTTAATTTTATAAATTAAAAATAAATTTTTTATTTTGAAAAAATTGTATAATTATATATTAAAAAGATAAAAATTCTTTTGGTAATCTATTTCAATTACATATAAATTAAACAAAATATAAAATAATTATTATATTATTTTTATACATCAAATATGATTTTGTGTTCGGTCGTTTCTGGTTTTTGCTAGGCGCTGAGTTCATATTCAGAACTTCCTATTTTGTTACCCTAAGATTACCACTTCCCCGTAGGTTGTTGAAAATTTCTTTGCAAAAAGTAGGAAAAAAAAACCGTTGGTGGTGAATGCTGAATGTGTAAGAAGAAAACCAGATAGAATTTGAGATTGTGGGTTCACATTTCATTGATTCCATTTCTAGATTTCTCCGTGCCAAAGTGCGGTACTGGTTACGCGGACAAATTTTGGTGTGATTTTCCGGTGTATATACATACGAGAAAAACAGAGTTGTCCTTCTCATTGGTTTTCTTGTAAATGTACACATGTAACCATTTGAAAGTGGTGATATTTTTACATAATAATAATAATAATGTATATCTTTCTTGACCGTATTGTCAGAAGGGTTCGTCGAAGGGCATTGGGGTGATGGGGAGCCAAAACCATTTGACCAAAGGGGATGAACTGATTAGGTAATTAACATAGTATATGTTTGTTTTGTTTTAAACCCGATCCCTTGGATATGTGCTTAAAGCAGATTAGAATAGCGACTTTTGATCTTATTAAGCAGATATTTTAGTAGTTTATGAAAGTAGTTGGATGAGAAAACACAAATCTTGTTCTCTTGCAGAAGTAAAAGTGGCACGTGCCTAACTCCTCCTATTTATTAGCGGTTTAGGCCGGCATTGAATATGTCTGAGCACATGCTTTTTAATTGCCTCAAGCTAAAGTTTTAAGTCAGACCCAATAGCTAGGTTGAATTTAAAACTCATATTCAAGCATTCATTAAAGAACTAAGCTTTACGACACCATTAAGTTCGGTTTAGATGTAATCGTCTAGTCACTTCCGCACTCAAGCCTTAACCCTCCTCATTTGCTTGTTTGTTTGTTTTTTTCTTAATTAAACATTACTAGGACATCTTCACTGCGTCAACTGAAAATTGTAAATAAACACAAAAAGAGAGAGAGGGAGAGATTATGTGGGCGGAGCACCCCGAAGAGAAAGAAAACAACATGGCCAGGTGTCGAAACTAATGCCTCCTGTCACTTCCCTTGTTCTCCATGCAATTGCAAATCCTCCGTAAAACTTGTCTCTCGGTCAAAATGAAACAACTGTCTCTTCGGGACTCTAATTTTGAAAATTTTCTCGACCAACTATTCTACTACAGTTTCTGTTACTATTACTATATTCAACCTGGAATTCCATTCCTTCTAGTCCATATATTATTAGTAATAAAATAAATAGTGTAATTACTACAATTAATCAAACTGCCTACCTCGCTAGCTACTAGATGCACTCAACACGTGCAAAATACGTGTCAAATTATCAACCAAAAAGCAAGAAAACCAATGGCCACCCCCAGGAATTTTTATGGCTTCCCCTTCCCCTTGTTTTCTTCAACAAACCTTTACGTTTGAACCCCATCTTTTGCCTCTGTGCTTTGTACACTGTAATTAAAGAAACAAATTATCAATTTGCAGCTGATTTTTTTTCTTCTGTGCTTGTACACTGTAACTCCAAGAAACTTTTGTTCCAATTGGCAGCTGATTTTTTTTAATACAGGTTTTGACTATATGCGTATTATACAATGTCTCTTTTTTCTCCCTAATGTTGGAAATTTTCATATGATATAAAATATTAAAAAATTCAATAATCAATTCTTTAAATCTCATTTATATATTTAATTAAGTTACCTAAATCTATATAGTTCATTAAAGTTATTTGGTTTTAGTGGTAAATGACGTGAATTGTTACATACTGTAAAAGTTCACCCACAACTTCCGTTCTGAGATACGAATCTATCCCATTTTCATTTTTGTTGATAAAAAGAAATTCTATCTACCCTCCACATGCTGTCAAAAGCAGGGACCTTTTCCATAAAAATGCTAAATTTTGTTTGGCATTTCTTTGTAAGCATTTTGCGGTAGTGGTATGAGGAAGAGCCGAAAGGTTGGAACCCCGGATTTTCCTACGTGGCCCTATCTTTGAATCTTTGAATATCACCCTTATCTTATAATATTTTGATAGGGACCCACTACCAACCCTTGATCTCTTAATCACTCGCCACGTGTACTTCGTCAACAGCCCAAAAATGGCTTCATTAAGTCATTAATTAGATTATAAAAATCTCTTCCCCAATAATCATGGGCTGGACAACTCCATGAAAGTAACAAATCAATGTCTCGATTGAAACGCTGTCGTACCAGTTCACCCTCCTTGTTTTAATGGAAAAAGCCTGTAAAAATTTGTGTAAAGAAACGTAACAGGTATGAAAATTTGACAACTGAAAACCCAAAAAAGCCTCAGACAAGAACAAAAAAAACACACGGTTTTCAACATGAGTCTCCTGCTCTTAGATTCCTCTCATCCATTGAAATTAAACGGTTTCTTTTACTTTGGTTCTCCTTAATTTATACTAGATCCAGGCAATTACCCCTTATCAACCTCTTTTCAATCCTACTGCTTTTTGGGTCTGTGTTCTTTCTCTTTAATCTATTCTTCTTTCTGCTGATTGATTATGGCTTTGTTTTTCTTTTTTTTTTTTTTTCTTATTGGGTGTGTTTAGTTTGTTGAATTATGTTATGTTATTCAACCTTGTTGCGTGCACGGTCTAATCTTCTATTCTTAAGACTTTTGTGGTTCTCGTTCTTGAATAATGGGTTTTTCTTCTTCTTCTTCTTTTTTAATATCTGTTTTATTTTCATTGATCAACTATGGATTATGGGTTATGGTAGTTACCGGCGGTTGTTTTGAATGGTAGTTGTTTTTTGCTTTATGCTTCGTTAGTAGTGATAATAATAGAATTATCAGTTTTTTTCTATAGTTTTTTATTCTAACTTTCACTTTATAACTTCCTCAAGACAATCTGGTTACAATTTTTCCACATTGAGTTTATCGGTGTGGGATTCTTTTAGTGAATATGATGTGTAGTTAGATTAGATTTTGGAATTTACATTGTATTTTTTTGCAATCATTTTGATCTGCTTTGTTTTGTTTACTTGTTTCGGTAATCTCATGAAGATGGTATCTGGGAGATGTATCTGAACTTTTACTTGAAATGAATGACAGTGGGTTGAATCAACTTTTGAAGCTCAATCAAGCCTTATTTAGGATGTTGCCTCTAATAAACCCTTTATGACAAATTTTTGTTGACCTGCTTTTGTAGATAATTCGGTTCTTGTGTTTACAAGTGGCTGTAGTGTCTTAATTAGTATAGTGAGTCTGCCACTTCCCGTTTTACTTTTCTATTTCTGCCATGAGAAGCATGGTGTACACTGAAGTCCCAAAGCACACTTGAAATGAGTGCTCTTTTACTTGGTTGAAGACTATGAAATTTAGATTTGCTAATTTGTTCAGCCTGTGAAGTATGTATGATGGTTGAACTTTTGTGTAGTTCTTACATGGACAATGACATGGGATATCCGTTATTTTTGTTTAGTAATCACTGGTAGAACTTTAAGTTTTCCAATATGGTTAGTGTTTGTTTTGACTAGTACTGGTATGTATTTGTATTGGTGTTTTATTTATATATTTGTCAACTTATAAAGTAATTTGTCTTAATCATGTGCAGTTGGCTTGTAATTTTGTGTCTGATTTAGTGAAGCTGAAGGTTAGGAGTTTCTCTTACTTGTCTAGCATAATAATCTCATTTCGAAGAAGTAGTAGTTATTTTTAACAGCTAAATGTGTCAAAGTGGAGGAGAGTAATGGCAGCAGCTGAAGCAAGGGTTGTCTGGCAAAGAACAGCTAATCGTTGCTTTGTCCAAGAAGATGCCAAAAGAGCTCCCAAGTTGGCTTGCTGCCAATCATCATCTTCCTCTAAACAGGCTGATTCCAACCCCACTGATGTGGCAGATGCATGTGATCACCCTGCAGTAGGTTTCATGCCTCACAACATGAATCCTTCCTATTCCAATCTACCTCCTGATATGAGGTGGTGGCTTCAGCTGCAGCCTAGCTATGGACCCCAAAAGGATTTGACACAGGAGCAGTTAAATGCCTTGGAGGATGAAGTGGAAATCTTGAAAGCTGAAATCAACTCTCCCTCCAGAGTAAGTGGAGTTCACCAGCAGGATGCACAAGATTCTTCTGGTGTTTACAGAAAAAGGAACAATGGATATTCTCTTGATTCAACAGAGACAATGAAAAACTGTGAATGTTTGGAGATAGAATCTGTTGAATGCCATGTTTCCAAAAAAATCAATGACATCTGTTATGATCCTGAGTCTCCCTGGGATGGGGGTGGGAAGGCTGAGCCATGGTGGCGAACAACAGATAAAAACGAGCTGGCTTCCTTAGTTGCACAAAAGTCGCTGGACTTTATTGAGAATTGTGATCTTCCCCCACCTCAGAAGATGCATGTAAGGAGGTACTCACATGCAAGTACTGGCTCTTTTGACAGTGATGAAATATCTTCTTTGGCTCGGAAGTCCCAAACAAGCCCTGTCCCCAGTCCTACTGTTAAGGCAGAGGTCTCTCCCGATTCTGTAAGAAAACATGGAAGACGGATGTTGTCAGTTGGAGAAGGGAACATGCGTTGTGCTTCCGACACATCATTCAGGTATTTATTTTACAATGGTTTTAGGTGGTGACGTTATTGAATCCATTGATTAATTCTCTGAAATTCTGAATGATAGGTTAAAAAAGTTTCCAAATAGGAACAATTTGTCAAAATGGCTTCTTAGATGAGCATTGGTTTGCATCTTTAGCTAACCAAGAATTAATGATAAAACTATTAACTTATCTCTGTTTGTTCAACTTTATTTGACTGCATTCTTATAGTTCAACCCAAAAGGATATCCTCGAGCAAGTTACAGAGTCTGATCCTACCAAGTCTCAGCTACTAGAAGCACTTCGTCACTCACAAACACGTGCAAGGGAAGCTGAGAAGGCAGCAAAGCAAGCCTATGCAGAGAAGGAGCATGTCATCAAGCTTTTCTTCAAACAAGCTTCACAACTCTTTGCCTATAAACAGTGGTTCCAAATGCTGCAGCTAGAAGCCCTTTATGTCCAGATCAAGAATAACGAGCAACCAGTCTCCACTGTCTTTCCTGTAGTCCTTCCATGGACACCCTACAACAGTCGGAAATTGCGGAAGAGCTGGCAAAAGACCAGAAAAGGTAGACTAGGGAAGCGGGGCCAGACTAGACCGGAAATAACCACGTATGCTGTTGCTTTCGCATTGGGACTGAGTCTTGTTGGTGCTGGTTTGCTGTTGGGATGGACCGTGGGGTGGATGTTACCTTTCTAGCTAATCAGAGACTTTCAACTAATCCCCTTGCTGCCGTATAATTTGTTTTGCGACGAAATAATGATCGGATTATATTTATTGCTCATGTGTGTAAAGTTTTTCTTACACTTGATTTTAAATTTATTAGGCCCTGTATATTGTATGTAAGTTGTTTTTTTCTTTTCTGTAGCCGTTGTATTGTTTGTAGGTCTGTATTTTATTCTGTACTTTGGGTGCATTAATGATGTGGTGGGCTGTTGTATATAAATTGGGTAAAAACGTCCTGGGACAAAGTATCTCATTGTATTTCTCTTTGATAAATCCATCAATGTACTGCGAAATGTGTTCAGAGTCTATAAATTGAACAGTTTCTGGATTCTAAATCCATCCCTTGGGAAATTTTTAAGGTTGTTTATCTCATGTATGGTTTTCAGTTGGAGTAAAGGGGTTTCAAATCTTGCTTTTTATCTATACATGCACGAATCATTGAGCCAAAATCTTAGAACAAATGACCGGCGTGTAATCTCTTTGAGCCAAAATCTTGAAACAAATGCTTCCTGTGTTACCTCACGAATGTTTAGTCAAAAAATATGTAAATTTCAAATAGAAAAGGATAAGCTCATGATATAGATAAAAGATTTAAACAAAGATAAAAGTGTTGGGAATATTTCCTAGGACCAACCGACCTAATATAAAATGCATGTCATATAAAGCATTATTAGTAACTGAAGTATTTTTTATTTATAAATTTGTATACATATTTTATATTACTTGTTTGATAAAATTCATGAAACAGATGTGTTAACTCGTCTTGTACTACGAGGATATATAGTGTACGAAGGATTGTACTGAGTATTTGAATATCAATGAAAAATTATTCTTTTTTGAACGAAAATAATATGGTTTGGAAGGAATTATAAGAAAATGTATATGTTTGACCTTAAAATTTGTATTATTATTAATGGACATTGTCATTATTTTTTCTTTCTTTTAGAAATTCAAACGATTTGGCACAATCTTAAGATTTAGATGAATGTTTACATATTTTTTAATCCTATTTGATTAGGGCTTGATTGAACAAATGTACTAATATTTGCTTCATCACCCCTATAAGATTAGGTAAAGCACGCAAGTAGAATATGTTCAACAGCCCGCCCTATAATATTTTTGCCAAAATTCTGCAGCCTTCCTTCCTCTTGTTTTACCTTTTTTACTCTCTTCAAACAAGGAAAAAAATCCAGCCCAACAAACTTGGGGGTTGAACGTAATTTCCTGAAGCTATAAGGGGTCTTTCTGGAAAAATGAAGAGAGAGATAAGAATTTCCAATTCTTTCGGATACCCGACCCGAACCAAAACTTCCCAATGATGCTTTCATTTGATTTCTTAAAGGCTTTGGATCATCCGAATGATCCACTTTATTTTTAGGGCATCCATCAAAGAACACAGAACTGCTCTTCGAAAAGGAGTGAAAGCAGGGAAAATCCGATTAGAGAGATGGCGGTGATGGAGAAGCTGAAGATGTTCGTAGTGCAAGAGCCAGTTGTCGCTGCGTCTTGCCTCATCGCTGGTTTTGGTTAGTTTTCTTTCTTTCTTTTTTCAATCTAATCAATCAGCCGCTTCATTATCAACTACATTTCACACAATTCTTTACGTCCTTTTTATAGGTTTCTTTTCTTTCATTACTAATCCCTAGTTTCATGCTGTTTGGTTTTTTGATGATTTGAAATTAGGGAAAACATAGGTTTTTTAAGTCAATTCTGAATCATCTAGGCTTTAAATCCAAGGCTTTTTTTTTTCTTGAATTAACTGAAAATTTTTATAAGGGATTCTTTCAATTTTGGTTTTATTTTGATGGTGAAGATGGTAGTTACTGTCTGGTTATAATCCTCGGTGTAGCTGAAGAGGAATCAAATCGTAATGCTTTATAATCCAGGATATACTTTGGATAATATACTAGTATTTCTTTTGTTGAAATTTATGTCCTTTTGATTATGTCATAGCAAACATTGTCAAAATTTATCATAAATTAGCATCCAATATATGATCTGTACATATATGTCATGACACAAAGGATTCTAAATCTGAAATGATGCTTAAAGTGGGTAAATTCTATGTGGGAAACCACTGTGATTGAAGTAATAATGTGTTTCATAATCAAAAGAATGGTGGTAAGCAAAATGCAGTTCTTGGGAGAACAAGCACACACAAACGTCACAATTAGTTCGTGAATTCAAACGAGAGTGTTTTCAAAGTTGCCAGTTTGAGTATATCCTGAAGAGAAATCAATATTGGGTTTCAAAATTCCTTTTCCTTTATTCTGTAAAGTTTAGGTTTGACTTTCCATTTGTTTCTGCATTTGTGTGGAGATTGAGACTTTTCCTTTTCCCGTTTTTGTAAAGCAGATATTTATCTTATTTGTTTTGATCTTACACTGTTCTAAAAAATGCAGGTCTCTTCCTACCAGCTGTTGTAAGGCCCATTCTAGATTCCTTAGAATCATCAAAGCAAGTCCCTCAGCCTGCTTTAAAAGATGTAAGTTTAGTACTTAGCAATATGAATCCTTGTTATTGTCTTTAGGATTTTTTTTTATTTATTTTTGTTTGAGGATTTAGCATACAAACTATAAATTGGGTTAGACATGTCATAAGAGAGAAGTTTTGAGATTGTTTTCTGAGTGTCAGAGAAGAGTATTGTTAAATCAAGATCCTAGTTACTGGTTTTTTTTTTCTTTTGACATGGGAATTTGTAATCCATCCCTATAGTTTAAAGACTATAGTTGGAAATGGTGGATGTTACAGCATTTAATGATAATGGTTTTTGCCAGGCTTCTATCATCGACACTTTCTACAACTGAGAACACTACATTCTAGCTGCGCTAAAAAGAGTTATTTTCTGTAGATCTTCTTAATTTTACCTTGTTCTAGTTGGATGAAAAATTTGCTATTAATGCTGTTACCCTTTGTGACTGTACTGTTGGTGGAAAGTAGATACCTTTTCTCATCTAGGTATAAAGATTGATTGGTATCATAGAAGGGAGAAAAGAGATTATAATACTAGACCATTACATAAGTTCTTGCAGATTTTGGTTGTTCTTTGCATAGAAGATAAGATCAGGCTTATTAGAAGCTTTTATTATCTGAATGTACTTCTTTTCCTTGATGCATCTCTTTGGAAAATGATATTGCTTTCAATTAGCCTTTTTGGAGTTGTCATGCCTATGAACCAGACCCGCTACATTAGATCATTCTTATGTACTCCAAAATTCTTTTGAGTTTGGGTATCTAAACATCAGCAAATGCTAAGTGGAGCTATGAACACTTGCAAAGAAAATTTCTAGCCTTATTCATGCTTCTAGATTTCTAGTTTTCTGTTCTAATTTTTAACAGATTGATGTGCGCCATTGGTGCAGGTGGTTGCAGGTGTGACTGGTAAAAAGCAGGGTTGATATGATTTGTGGATTGAAAAGAGGCAAAATTTCAAATGTAGCTAGTTATGAGCAACAAAATAAACCTGACTTTTAAATTGAGGAACTCTTTAAGAGCGACATGTGCCTCATGTTTAGGATGAGAGAATTTGAATGTTATTTTGTTTTAATATTTAGCAGTTGAGGATTTCTCAAAGCATGGATAACTAAGATATATCAGAGTGGATATATGAGATCTTCTGCTTAATTTGCTTCCGTATATTGAACTTTATTCTTTGGTTGATTTGCACCTTTATCCCTTTTTTTGGTTTTTCTAATCTTATAGTCAGTAAGAATGTGAAGATGATGTTGAAGACATGGTTGACGATTGGTATGAACCCTAGATTTTTTTTTTTTTCCAAATCTGTAGGATATTTGAAGGCCTAACTATGACATGGGCGATGGCAACCTCATACTTTGTTGTCAATGCCTTCCTGATATCTGGTTATAGGCTACAATCAATAAAGTGCTAGTATTAAATGTGTTGTTAGTCTCGCAAATGTAGGTGCACGTTTTTATTAACTCTTCGTCCTTTCAAGTGATTTTCAAATAAGTTAAATCTTATTCAGACCAATAAATGGAGTTAAAAAAGACATGGAGGAGTCATCTTGGATAAGGGAGCAGGACATGAATTCCATAAGAATGATACTACTTCAATGGAAAGACCCACCCCACCTAAATGAACTTCGGGTTGGCTTCTTATTGAGTTCCAGGTGGTTAAGAGCAGCTTGAAAACCTGTTCTCTGTATTGGTGCACCGAAAACGCTATGGGTAGTATAAAATGGTTCAAAGCAGTAGACTAGTAGTTGAGTGAGTCAAACTACAAATCCTCCGGTTTCTGAAGTAGTAGGGGAACTTCAACTCCTGGGAGGAGCCACGTCCTGTCCTATAACACCCCCGGCTGCCGGATTCCCCAACCGTAAACATAATTGTGCCTAAAATGCTGCTTGAGTGGGTTTTCTGTCGCAACATAAAGACAAAGAAGCCGAAAGAACAGTAGGCAATGATGATAGTAGTAATTCGTAAATGGTAAAGATTGGTATGATACAGTATAGTAGAGTGTTACATTATCCAGTCGCAATCGAAAAAGCTAAACCATAAATTTCACATCCTTAAAAACTTTCTCACGTCCCACCGACCGTGGTATGATGGCCTGTTGATACATTTATTGCAGCTATATATCCAGGCCAACAAAGTCTGAAAACTTTCACATTGATTTACATGCAAAAGATTAAGAATGCAGCCATAGCCATATAGACCCATCCAAAAATACTTGGCTGAATACAGCCCCACAACTAGAGAAGAAACAAAGTAGTGATAGCCATCGTCTTGCTATATATATATATATTACATTTGATTAGTCATTTTCGTTCACAGGAAAGTATCAACCGGCTAAAAATGGATTGGAACAATGCGGCCTGCGGGCAATTAATCAACTGTTCGTATCGTAGAGTGCCTGAAAAAGTTAGCCCATAAATCCATCCTTCTTTTCCCTTTTACTCCATGGAACCACTTGCTTTAAGCCTTCATAGATACTTGCCTGTCGTGTCCGAACAACAAATCAAACAACTTTCTTGGAAGTTATAGTGCAAGAATTAAAACAAAAAGCTTTATGAACGAGGATAGGGATTGATATTAAGAAATGAGTTAGATGGAGAGTTTCGTAAGTATAAATTGCCCACAAAGATAACTGAAGTGGCACATTATTGTGAAGTCAATAGTAATGCTTAATAAATGCTTGATTGTGCTTTCCAGAAATGAGAAATAAACAGATTGAAACTCAAAAGTAGGGCAAAATCAGGTCGGCGCCTACCACTTTAGAAAATTTTCTTTGGGGGACACTTAATTCTAGCCAGGTCCCTCCTACGGCAACCAAACTTTGCCCAACATACCAGTACATGTTATATCAAGTAATTTCCGCCAACCATGGTATGAATCAGTTTGAATACTTGAACGATCATTTACCCTTTTTTTGTTTCTGGTTAGACAAGTTTGCCAAATTTTAGTCAATAGAATATGATTTAATTTAACATTCCAATGTGCCACAGGAACCCAACTTATTTCCCTGTATTGTTAATTTCTGTATAAAATTAAAGTGACTTAGTAAGAAAAGAATTTGGACTATAGTAAGGAAATGGTGTGTAATTCAGTATTCCTGATGAAAACTATAAAAGTACCATAGCAGCACACCCCTTGAAGACTGCAAATGTGTAAAGAAATTGAGAAAAACTTACCCAGAAGTGGGACTTGGAATGTGAGAGACTGGGAAAGCTGCCGTTCCTTCTAATTCTTGTGATCCTAACACTGGTACTACTGCTTTCGTCTCCTTCTCTGCAGCATTCACTATCTCTATCCCCAGAAGATGGAAAGACATGACTATTCCCACCAACTTCTCTTCTAGCCTTGAAGGCCCTTCTCCTCCAAGAACCAAGAAACCCTTTTTCTCTGTACCTTCTCTTACTAAGAACCATAGTACCAAACTGCACCATCTCAGGACTACAACTGCCAGCACGAAATGATCCATAACACTCACTTCCCATTCTGAAAGAAGAAGAATGAAATCTAGCCCTGCCCATGTAAGGACCTTCCAAGACTGTGGTGGGTGAGGGCAGCTTGGTGATCTTGGCATCCTGTAGTAACCTCGGAGGCAGTTCCAGGCACTTTTGAGCAAAGTCATTTGGGTTAGAAAAAGTGGTGAGTGTTGTACACGGTTTGGGTTTTCCTGGTTCCTCTTCCCAGCGAAATGGGACCGAGGCGGAGGCGTGTAATGGCGGGGTTAACATCCCTGATCTTTCTGGTGACTGCATGTGTGCATGTGAAGCTGAAAACAGCAGTAGCTTTGGTTTGTAGCTCGACTCTTTCTCTGCCTCGGATCCCATGATTTCTTTCTCTAGCTATCTTTTCTCTACCTCTATTGTCTAATCTAATTCAACGTCTATTATAAGGAGTGCGGAGAGTTTTGTTGCAACGTATAAAAAGGGGAGACAAAGAGGAGAGGAAGGAAGGTCCTCGTGAGAAAAAAGCCAGCCTTTTAAGTCAATAACTCGTCGCTATCTTCACCTTCTAGCAAAGGTTACTCAATGGTCGTTCTTATAATTTTTGTTGTGAGCTCTCTACTTGACCATGATGTTGTCATTCTAGCCATAACTTAAAAGACTTAAAATACAAGCTCTAAAAATTAGAATGGATTCCAACTAAATGGAGTACTGTCATCGTTGAATGGGATTGAATTGTGTGTGTGATTGATATTCATCAAAAGAAAAAATTGTACTACTCCTAAATTTGATAGGTTGGTATTAGGACTAATTTATTATAGATTAACCTAATCAAGCACTAAAGTATCAAGATACCTTGATTGCATATCCCATTAAAAGATCTTGAGTAAGGTACCTAACCCTCCCATTTTAAATTGAAATAAAAGGTGAAGAAGAAACACAAGGTTAAATAGTGAAAGCACTTAAAGCAAGAATCTACTTTGCGGTGATCTCAGCTTTATTCAGCTGTTCCTGGTTTGCTTTTCATTCAAATAAAGAGAGGTGGCAACCTGAAGAAACTTGGGAAATAGATTTTGATCAGTGTGCATGCAACTATTGTGGTCAGGAGCCCATGTGATTGTAGCTGGAAGTTCATTGGATGCCAATTTGACATGGTCCAGAGGGAGAATCACCATCCTCCCCCTTTTTCAGAACTGGGCTTGTTTTGGACTTTTCTTGATCAACAAATGCCCTTTCGGACAAATCATTCCCCTTTGCCACCAATTTCCAGCATTTCCCCTTATTCACTTTTCAATGGCAGTTCTGCCACATGTGCATTTAAATCATGATGAATCTTGGTTTATCATCATCAAAATATGAAAAATGCGTCTCCAAATTTTGTTCTAAAAGGAGCCATCTCTTCGTAAATGAATTTGATTACATATGAACACAATATTCATTTAACTGTATAAATCATAGAGGATAACAATAAACGAGAGTGAAGGAGAAGGAATGTAAAATTCATAATTTCTATTCAATAATGGACAATGTACAATCAATAAATGTACGTATGACCTTTGAAAGTTAAGAAAACATGTATCGTACGCATATTATTTGGACAAATAAAGGATCAAACACTTGGGGAACTTGTGCTCCCGCGAGTTCCAAAACTACAAATAGTAACCAATGCTGATGCAGCTATGTTCAATAACTGTGGAAGTTGTCTATTGATAGTAGAAAACTACAAATAGTTGGGCTTACTTTACAGGTGAGGCTGCAAAAATACCGAAGGAGTTGTCTAGCAGCCACTGCTGATAATGCAAAAGTCAAAAAGGGGGAAAGCAGAAGGATTAATCAATAAGGGTGGTTGAAGGAGAAGGAAAAAAAGTAACTCATCTCTCCTTTGACTAGAGGCTTTCTTTGAAAACCATGAAATTATATCCATCTGTCACCTAGTCTTTCCTGGCTCCCTCTTTCAAGCCGTGTTCATTACAGAATCCTCTTTTGGACGTTTTGAGCATCTAGAAAGGGACAGAGAGAGCAAAGTCAAATTTAGTGAGGCTGCAAATTCTGAAGAAGCTTATCAAGAACCATGGGCTTTTTCTCAACAATCAAATACCTTCATTATCTAATACCAAAAAATCTTGGTATGTTAATGACTATTAAAACAACTATTTGAACGATGGTCATACTTCAAATCTAGATATAAAGGCAAATTTAAGTCCAAATTTCATTCTTCCAAGTTAATCATACACTCTTGGTTTCTCATCTAATATATAGCTGCCCTTTAGGCCTTGGGCAAATCTAGTCATCCCTGCAACAAAAGGTAAAATTGGTCACAGAAGGAGGGTTATTTTTTGGTTGGACACAAGGAAAACAGGTCGACAGACAAAGAAAGTAGGAAAAGGGCAAAAAGAAAGCAATTTGGATGAATTTTTAGTAATTGAGAAATGGATATATTATAGTTTCCATCGTGTTAGTAAAGAATGGGTGGGTCACCACGCATTCTTTTGTAATAATCCTGGTTCCAACTTGATGAATTGCAAAGGGCTTTTGTCTTATACAACTATCTCCATTAATAAACTTGCTAAAGCAATAATCATCAACTCGAATCTCGATATTATTCAATTAGCAAATTGGAAAAAGAATGATTAAAGCGTCGAAAAATGCCACTGCCCCTAAAGCAACAATACAACAATAACTCTTTTTTGTTTCCGTCTTTATTATCAAGCACATATATCTTTCTGTTTTTCCTCAATTCCTTCTTCATCTTGAAGCTTTTAAAGAATGCAACGACAGATCTCTAAGCAATTGCAGCCTCCAGTGCTACACATAAAGATGATTAATTATTTATCAAAATAATTCATTGAAAGTGACTTTGAAAGTATTGCCCAAAACCATATGTTTATCAACATAATTCATTGCAAGCAACAAGATAACGTGATATGGTGATTGGTCCTTTTGTGATCCCTTCATGTTTTATATCAAAAAGAAATCATCAGGAAAGATAGAAGTATACCATTATGTTTGACCTCAAATTAGCTACAGCCGTATCATTTTCCAAATTCCAAAACCTTCCGCCCTGAATTTCAACACTAAACCAACTACCAAACTCCTCAAATTCCCCCCTTATTTTTCCTGTTGGAGAGTTCCCTTGAAACTTGCAGCCAAATCTTGGAACATTAGAATCAAATCCCCAGCTTGAATGAATAAGCAGAAATCATTCAAGCCACAGCTTTTCCTTCATATATAATTGGATTCTAGCCAAATTTTATGTCCACAAATCACTGCTATGAATGAGCATGTGTGAACTAATGCTTTACACCCCAACTATACAACAAATATTTTGCTTAGGATTCTCATAAATGGGAGTAGTTGATAGGAGTGGTTGGGTGAAACAGTTTTGGCAAAATGTCATTCCGGGTCTTGACATTGCAATTGATAGAAAAAAAAAGGCCCATGGCCATGGGCAAGTGACCTGATCATTTGGGCCCACAACTGACCCAATCTCCAGTAAACCATATGGGCCCATAGGTAATTGTCCTACGACAGTGGTTCCAGTTACCATTACCAAACGTTTTACTTCCAGAAATTTATGGAAGTCTACTTGAGGACGCTGCAAGGGTAATGGAATTCTAGAAACAGATTATTTCAATGAATGAGAGTGTTTCCGGCGTTAAGAGTTCGGGCCAGTTGTCAAGTAAGTTTGGAAAATTAACCACACATGCCAAGTGGGTCAACATAATTGCCAGGGTCTGGCAGTCTGGGGGCCGAAAAGTTACCCAATCAAGAATAAATACTGAAGAATTGAGCCCTTGCTGGTAGACTTTCAAATTTGGGCTTCTTGGACAAAGAAAATGGGCTATCACATTTTGGACCGAATGACCCCCATGTGAAGTGGTGCCCTTCCTAGTTTTTTTTTTTGATAGCTTCCTCTTTACTTGTTTCTTCACATTCAGCACTGAACTTTTTTGTGACAGTTTTGTTTACTTTCTTTTGGATAAACAAATTCCTTTAATTATTAAAAAAAAACATATATCCTTCCTTCCTACAAAGTGCTAACATACATAGTATTACTTCAACAATGGGGAGATCATTTTAGGTTTATGAATCATTGTAATTATTATACTGTTGATAATACAGTTTTGGTTTTTTTTATGGGGAAAGAAAATGACGTTCATAAAATTTTTCCAACAAGACAGATTCACTTCCTTGTTCTTTGTATAGACGTTGAATAGACAAGTTGCCGTTTAATTACCTGTGCAAATCCTTTGCTTGATTTCTATTTCCTCTTCTTTGATACGTTCAAAATTTCTTTAACTTCTTTCAATTTCCCGAGCCACTTTCCCTTCACTTTCGTTTTATTTAAAAACTATATACAGTTCTCTTAGCTGACATTGACTGGCGGCTCTTTGATCACCCGAATTTTGGATATACATAACTTTTCTTCTTACAAAAACACAAAAAAAGGGTTGAAAGTTGAAACATTGGGGTGACAAGTGACGAAGAATACAGACATAAAAAATCTTGAATGTCATAATCAAATGGATTTTTGCACAAACTTAAAAGAGTCCATATTTCCAGTCATCAAATTGGACAGTTACTGCTTTTACAAGAAGCAATATCGCCACGAAAACAACCCTTGCCTAAGTTTGCCTCTCCATATTTTTGGACATCTTTGCAAAAGGGACAGCTAACCCACCTCCCCAACCCATAGAGGCCAAGCCCCCATTCATTCACTCACCTCCGCACTGGTTTTTCTACCACTCCTTTCATTCTTCATTTGGCTTGTGTTAAGTGGTTTATCTTTACGTTGGATGATTAACATCTTGTATATTCTTTTTTTTTCTCCAAAATCGCATAGACAATTAGCTTAGTTCCATTCCGTAACTAAAATAAATCTTTGCTCTGAACTCAAGCTCTTATGACCCAAATTATTAACTTCTTAGCTCGTCTCATACCGTGAACAAACAAGATCAATGGCATTCGTCTTGTAGCAAAACAAACGTAAAATCCGACTCATTTAAATGGGCTCAATGCAAGCTTGGATTCTCTGTTAAAGCCTATAATAAAGCAAAAAAAAAAGTTAACTGTAACAACTAAAAAGATTTCGAATGCAAGGTTAGCACTCTGCAAGACCCACCTGAGCTGAGAGGAATGGTACAAAAATGCAAAAATAAAACATGGAAAATCAAGATTTCGAATCCCAGAAGATTAAAGTCAAGATTGAAGTATGAAGCGTAAACCAATTAATTAGGTGAAACCAGAACCCTTGTTCTCAAGGCAAAGCAATTGTAGGCATCCATGCCCTTCAAGATTTAACCCAATTTAACTTGTTAAAACATAGTTAATGTTGGTGGGTACGATTAGTGCCGTGGAAGTAATAAGCAAAAACTTAACCCTTATTCGGGTTAGATGAAGCCAAACCGAACCTGATTAGCACGGCTCCCATGAATGCCTTGAAAACCGTACCTAACCTACTGCCCCGGGCTGTCCCATATGCAAAATTTCAGGACCATAAACTTTACAACTTAATTGAGAGGACAAATAATGTGGATAAGCCTGTGCAATAGGGACCAGCAGCATAGCATTTGGACACTGCTAACTTTTTGACAGCACATTGGGGGCCTCTAGCCAGAAGTCAGGGCCATCGAGATTGGTTCCCAAACGTAGCGAAATAAACGGAAATCTCGAGGCAAGACAACGAGACAATTTCTTCAGTCGGCTTTCCTCAGGAGGCCAGACAATGGTTGAAAGCTAGAGCACAGAATATGCCATCCAAGGGAAAGTAACCAACAAGAACTAAGTGCATATTAAATGCAAGCATTTACATTTTTACATGCTGATTCATTGAAACCACACAACCACCCAACAAAGCAAAGGTATACACAATCCATCCATTTCTAAACCTAAATGTTTTTTCTTCCTATTCTTTTACCACAAATTAAGAGTTTACCTTCCCCAATGCATTTTCATTCACTCTTTTTTTGTCCTTAAGCAAAGCTCTCAAAAAAAAAAAAACCTAAGCAAAATAAACTACCAACATTTCTTCTCCCACCATACCAAACCAAGGAAAACAAAGTAAAACCATATAAATAAGAAGGGTTTTCAAACTTTCATGTTTCAGACCTATGCTCCGAATCCAGGCTTACAGTCCCTTCACCCTCCAAAGATGACACCTGAAATTTGCATCTTGCACTTATCTTCTTCACTTCCTCACTTGAATATATGAAGATTTTTTTCACCATCTTACAAAATTCCCTACAATTAAAATAAAGGGAAAACAATTTTCTAAAAACCAGCTCTGAAAAAAAAATTGCACATGTGCTTCTAAGTTACTTACATCCATGGATCATCGCCCACAAGCATGATATCGCCCTCATCATCATTAAAAACAACGGACCATTTACCATGGGGACAAAGCTCTCCCTTGATATCAAACATTTTCTCCAACTCATTTATGAGATCATCATATCCTTTCAATACAGTTAAGTCAACAGCTCGACCAACTGCAATCCCTTGCATGTGTACCTTTGGAATCCACAAATATTGTTTCACCAGGAACTTAAATAATGAAAGCAATCTAAGTATAAACTAGCAGATACCCCAAAGTTTACCTTAGTACGAGTTCTTGTGGACGTAGCAGCACCCTGCTTAGCCTGCATCTCCTTGGTTGATGTCTCTGATGCAACTTGCTTCTGCTCCTTTGAAGACTTCGAAGTTTCAGGATTCTGATCGATATGAGATGCAACTTGAATAGACCCTCTCACACCATTGTAATCGACAACTGTGCTCTCTTGTTCCTTGTCCGGGGGGACAGCTGCACAAGTGCTATCTGTCAAATTAAACCCAAACAACCGGCAACCTGTTGAAACTTCAGATTTTTTTCCTTTTTCAGCTTGGTCATGCATTTTGCCCTTGATTGGCCTCGATTGAATAGAAGACACATAACCCATGAGAACAGTCTGTGGTGTTCCAGTTTTGTTGTTGCCATCCATTGAATTGGGAAAAAGGTTTAGGGATACATTCACAAGAGAAGATGGCCAGGCGTTTTCAGGCAGAGTCCTTGAGTTATAACCTGCGCTACTATTGATAAGATTGTTATCAACTTCTCTCTGCCTCATAGGCCACATAACTTGGTTTTCACTGCTTTGGACTTCAGGTGTGCTTCCTACTTGAGTTAGTTCATGAGATTGTGTTGACCCACGACACCAGAAGGCTGAACCAGCAGAATTTGTAGTAATTTCTACAAGTTCAATAAATGAATCAAAGTTAACAAAGTCAGCACTCAAGACTCTAATGAAAGCACTTCAAGAATAATTTTCCCACACCAGAAGCTGGAATATCAACCAGTCGTGGTCTTTTGCTCTTTACAGCTGGTTGTACAAGATTGATGGAGGCAGAAGCCACAAATGGCTCTATTTCCCAAGGAGAAACTCTCTCTGGCCTTTGTGTTGTTGCAGGTTCATCCCATTGAATCTAAAAGGAGAAATAGCACTACCATCAAAAACAAGAAAAGAATTAAGTTAGCATTTCAAATCACTAATTCAAAACTATATTCAACCTTCAAGGACCGCCATTTAGATTCTGACCAATGTGGGGAAATATCTCCAACCCCAACTATGGTACCAGTGAACCTGATTTTGAAAAAGAAATCCCAATAGGTAAAAAGGATCAGAAAAACAAAAGATAAACTTGGAGATTGGACAACAACATACGGAGAGAAGCCTACCTTCTCTCAGGAGAGTCTTCCCCCTCAAATCTCATCTTGAAACGCATGCCAACAGAGAATCCATTGTTAATAGCCTCCAGATACTTATTTACTCCTATTATGAATTGGCTCGTCCTGAACAAGAGCAAAGGAGAGAAACTCAGTCCTGATAATCAGAATTTCAAACTAATACAAACAAATATGTTTACACCAAGAGAGAACATTAAACCTTGGCTTGTAGTACACAACAAAGAGGGTATGAGTTGTAACAGCATGAGCAGCTGTAGCAAGCACTCCTAAATGCATGCTCTGACTGGATATCACAGACGATGGCATTGTGCTCTGTCGACGAGCAAGCTGCCGAACCCCAACTCGTAGTTCTCCATTATCACCTCTAAAAAACATGCCACTACAGTTACAACCAAAGAGACTGCAAAAATGCCACGACTGAACCTGCACACACGCAACACCAAAAAAAAAAAATCCAAAAGTCCAAGTACCTGAGAAACACAAATGCATCTCCTGCAACCAATCTCTTGGAAGTGACAAAGGTGCTCCACCCTGTTGTAAGTAAATGTCTCCGTGGTTGCCCTGACCATTAGTAATTACAAGTTAAAAATAGATCAAGAAAGGAACTAGAGGGTTTCAAATGTTCTACTTAAGAGGTCTATTTACTGCTTCCAAACCATGACATGTTCAGAAAGCAAATATGAAATGACATGAAACCATTACCCCTAAATATATGCTTAAACCGCCACTCAAACCCATGAAGATCTTTGGCAGCCAACTCCTGAGTTGGAGTTGCTTGATTCATATCCTGTAAAAATCAATAGAAACAGAGTTTTAGTCAAACACAATAATGTAACAGTCTAACAAGGATTATGGATAGATTAAACCAAACTTATTACCAAAGGAGGCAGGCACTCAGTAGCATGCTTTCTGAGAACAGAGAACCCTCCATGGGTGCTTGTGTCTGATGCCGTTAAAATCTTACAAAAGGAATGAACTGTCCTCTTTGGAGCCTCAATTGGGCAGGGGTCTGGGCAGGGATCAGGACTTGTAGGTTCACTTTGCTGCAACGATAACATAAGCATGCATCAAAAACAACTAGAGAAATCAATTATTTTCCTCAGGCCCTTTAAAAAATCCTATCTCGCTTCAAGGGTGATAATAATTTAGAAAAAATCCAAAGCCCGAGACTTATGAAAGGCACTAATTTAACTAATTAATTAAATTAAATTGTATGTTTCCATTCCCATTTCCTCAGCAAATCTATCAACCTAAAAACAAAAGTATGAAATAAGGATTAGTAAAAAGAAACGACAGGACAGTATAGATTTACATACATCCGATTCAGGCTGCAAAGTGATCTGAGCATAAACCTCATCTGTCTCTTGTTCTGCCTATTAAAAAAAGGATACAAGTAATAATAAGGTGATCTCGTCAAGCTGGAAAAATGAAATAACGAAATAATAAGAAACAGAATCAGAGATAGAATACCAGTAATTGAACGTGAAGAACACGACATAGGATCTTCGAAGGAAGATTAAACAGCGGGGCTTGATGATTAAGTTCCTGATTAGTTGACGCTTCTAACTGCAGAACACGTAAGTGCAAACTCAAAAAAGTATAAATCTCGAAAAACAAAGCCAAGAAAAGAGAAAGACAAATGACAGATTTCAAATTTTCGATCTAAATCGAAGCAATTTAAACAAAAGGAAGAACCCAAATAGTTTCTAGAAAAAAAAACAATTACTTGTTCCATGTGACCCTGAGGGAAGTAAAAGACTCTCTCGTGAACCCGAGGAATCTCCACCAACGGCCCTGCACATAACTTCCACAGTTCTGGATAGAGATCATCAACATTCAAACCTATCAAACAAAAAATAAAAAGGAAATTTAAAAAAAAAAATAATCATGAGTTCAGATGGAGAAAAAGTAAAGTCAACCCAACAGAAACCATAGAGGGAAAAAAAAAAGGAAAAATTAAAACTTCACGCTCCGGTGTGTAGCTGAAAAAACGCAAGAAATTAATTGCATAAGAAGTAGAAACAAGCAAAACCACCCATCAAGGATTTGTCATGATTTAAAAGCCTTCAAAAAAGGTATAGCTTCAACTCCGCCAAGCAAAATTAAAGCTGCTAAACTCAACCCAGTTGAGCTGAGCTCATTTTCTCTTCGAAAAACACCAATGTCCGTACCGTAACCGTACAACAGTTTAAAGAAAACCCATTTTTTTCTTCTAGTTTCTCATCAGCCAAGCAGAGCCATTTTTTCAGACACCAAGAAAAAAAAAAAAGGCAACCCATTTTTCTCTAACTAAAAACTCACCTGACTCCGCATGAGCCGAGGAACCCCTTGGAATACCTTCTACATGAGCCATCAAAACGAGGTCGTACCGACGATGCAGAGAAAGAAAAGCACTAAAACAGAAACACTATAGCTAAAAAGCAAAAAAGTCTTTGAAGCAGGCAGAGCCTACCCCATTAATAAGGGCAGAGAGGATCCCCCAGGAAGAGTCGAAATAAGGAAAGAAAAGAAAATAATAAAAATAAACAAAAAATAAAAAGACTGACTAAACACGACGGTTATATATGAATTCAATGTTGGTAGTTTCCCTGTAACGACTGTGGGGATTTTCCTTTTTTTTTCCCCTTACTATAATCTTTGGCCTGCTCTGTTTCAGTTACAAAACCGCTTTCTACTTTTGTCTGGTCCACTTAAAACCGCCTTCTTTTTGGAGTCTCCAATACCATTTTGCTTTCTTTTTTTTGTTGAAGCACTTGTGTAATGCAAGAGTGGAGCTGCTGTTGCTATCCTTTGCTGTTGTTGTCTTTGTTGTTGTTGTTTTTTTGCCCCTTCCTTCCCTCTCTAAAAATTAGCTCAGAAAATATTGAATCGATAGTACCAAATCCCCAAAACCGTTTTCTCTCTCTCTCGTCTCTTTCTGTAGTTTTCTCATAAGTTTCTCCCTCCGATGCGTCTCTACTTCACTTGACTTTTTCTAGTTTTGCTCTCATAGTTCGAGTTTTAGTCCTTTTTCTCCTCACATCATGTGATTTTATCTGCAGTTCTTCTATCGCACCACTCATTGCTTGGCCACGTTTGTCATTAACAATTTGGTGATTTCATCTGAACCTAATTTCATTTTTGTAATAATAGTCGTTCTAATACTCATGTTTTTAATTATAAAATAAGTATACATCAACCCACAAAAATTTGATATTTCATGTATCAATGTATAAATATTGTGATTCACTTATAATTTATATAATATTTATATATTAACAATAAATTAAATATAAACTAAAAAATACAAGAATAATTTTCTTACTGTTTCATTGATTTCACAACCAAACCAATTAAGGACCGACAGGTTTCAAAATAAAAAATTATTTTGATTTTATATCCTTTTAATTTTGAATATATAACCTATGTAAAATACATTATTTTTTTCATTTGACAATACAACATTATATTATATGTTTTAAGTTTTGTTAAGAATGATCTCGAACCTTTGATTTAATAGTTAAAGACGTTTAAAAAAATATCAAATATTTGATTTTAAATTAAATTTTTTTATTTATATTAAAATTTTATCTTTATGATGTAATTAAAAAAAATTTTGTTAAGCATTGATATTAGACACACTCCTATACAATTTTTTATTGAATGTGTACAAAATTCATCTTGCGAAAATGTTTCCATAATGAACATATAAATTCTCCCTTTGATGTGAAATCAAGATTTTGTAAGTGGAAAACATTAAAGTTTTGTACGAGAGTAAAACCTACCAATTTGAGTATTTTATTAATGTATCTTACTGTTGACATAAATTCCCGTTGTAAAAACGCAACAGGCCAATAAAAAAGTAATAATAGGAATAATGATTATCAGGAAATTTTAGTAATTTTAGCACCCAAAAAAAAAAAAAAGTAATTTAGTGTTACAAATCTAGAGTAAAAGAAAATGTTACTGACAGTAAAATTTGATGGAAACGGAGCTAGTGGGGCAAATGTTACCGCAGTTAACTTTTTATAACTGTGAATCACAGGACAACACCGTACAACAAGTGGAGAAGTGAATACAAGCCGTCTGATAAATGCCGCGTACGATTAAATGATTGCACATCACATCATTGATTGCCCTAATTTGTTTGACGCCACCTCGGTAAACGTAACGGCTTGGTTTCAGGGAGAAAGAAAACGGAGTCCGCTCTTTGGCGTTAGATCTGACGGCGCCGTTAGGAATTTTTTTTTGTTGGCTTATCGCCGTCTCTTTCTTTGTCTGCATCGTGGCAGGCAACCGTGTTGGCTCGTGTAAACCCGGCAAAGAATTTTGGGGCTCTTATTTTCGTTTTCTTCATATAAATAAATAATTTTTTTTGGGGTAATGACTGAATACGAGGGCTGTTTTACAATTTTTATTTTTTTCTTTTTATGCTTGGTTTTTGACATTGCGGATATGTGTAATTTACCGATGTTGCCATTGTCTCTTTGGGACCCATCGTACGTATGGTAAGTGTGTGGCTTTTCAATAGTTTTGTCAGATTTGTTGCATTCTATCTCAAGTATCCTTTAGGTCGAGTGATCACAAGCTCCAATTTTTTTTAATTAATTATTCTTTAATGTAAAAATTGAATATTTATGCTTTTTTTTTCCTATTTGCTATAAAATAAAATACATAACCAATAAATAATTAATTCAATTGATTAAAACTCATTTTATTTAATAAAAAAATTTAAATTTAAATTTTATCGATAATCACTTATTTAAATCATTTTGAATATATAATTTATAGTCATATATTTTAAATTATCAAGTATAATATATTTTATTTTAACTTAAAAAATTAAATAATTTATTTACTTTAAATTTTTTTACCAAAAAAATACATAAATATTTTTTATTATAATTTACCAGAGCCAGAGTTACAAAGTTTTTACTTTTGTTGGTCTTTATGGAATATAAAATAATATTTTTTAAAAATAAATTATTTGATAAACAGTAAAAATTTTTAACTGTATAAATATAATTAAAAAGTTAATATATATCTTATTTTTATTTTAATTAAATTTTATTTTGTATATATTTTATGAAATATATATCATTTTATTAACCTTTTTAATAAAACTAAAAATTTTTATTATTAATATATTTGATAATTTTTCATAAAACAAATATAATATTAAATTTATTACACTAACAATCTAACATCGTGATTTCAAAAAGTCAACACTCTAAACATGGAGAGGCCATAATTAAATGAACTATCATATGTTATGTAGGAAGACTTTTCAAATCGAATTAACTTATGTACTAGGTAAAAGCCAAAAGGTTGTTATAAAAGGAAACTTTTTTGTGGTTAAATTCAGATATTCACATCATATTTTTTTAATGTCACAAAAGTTACATACAATATACTCAAATAAATTTTATGAAATGTGAAATTAACATTTTACATTTTTATTATAGCACATGACAAGTAATGTGATATATAATTTTTGTTATAATTTTTTATTTTCAAAAAAATAATTAAAATTTAACTATTTGAAAATATGATTTTATATTTAAGGATGATAATAAGTTGAATTGATACGAGTTTTTGTTGATTTTGATTTTGATCTTATTTTAAAATATTTTATTTGATATCGGATTAATATTTTTTATATTTGTTTTCAATATGATACATAGATGCATAATTAGCATCTAATATAAAATTAATTTAATATAATATTTATAAATATATATTTTTAATATAAATTATATTTTAATTATATAAAATTTATTATTTTTATTAAATTTATATATTAAATTAAACTATTAAATAATAATTTTATTAATATATATGTATATATTATTAAATAAATAATAAAAAATATATAATTTTACATATATGAAAACGAATTAGGATGAAATACACTAAAACTTTAGCCTCCAATTAGATCCCAAATTTTTTTTAAATACTTAGATTCGTCTTTTACTTGATATTTGATTTTTAAAAAATAATTTTATAAGATTAAAATAAATTAAATTTTATTAAATATGAAATATTTTATTCTTTATATATACATTACAATTAATTAAACTAATTAAAATACGGGAGCATCGTTATTGATTTATTATTTTGTGTTTATTCACATTATATGCTAATATTTCTTTCATTCCAAATGAAACGCTTCACATGACATTCTAACACGCATAAACCTGGAAATAACGACTTTACTAAACTAGAGAGGAAAAGGACAAAAAAAATAAAAACGTGTTAGGCACATTCTTTGGGAGGAGCGTGAGTCACGCGAATGCACAGGAAACTAAAGCATAATATTTTTTCTGATCATGTCGATCTGTTAGGGGTGGTCCATAGTACACGTCATATCTGGAACCTCATAAAGCTAGCCACGTGGTCTTGTCGTTTCCATACCCACGTGTCACAAGCTGACTAGTCTTGCCTTCTCCGATGCAGGACATTCTGCTTCCTATTTCTTAAACAAAGCGAAACTTCCCAGTCATTTGAAAAAATAGGGACATCATTAACAGTTTTTTTCCTTGGTATAAACCAAGAAACAAAGACAATACATCTAAACTATGAATATGTTTTTCCTTTGGATTTAAATAATCCTACTCTCTTTTTTTTTTTTGGTTTTAGCTTCTGCGGGTGTGGAAACAACATCAAATGCAAAAAATTCGTACTAAAAAAATCTCTCCTAGAAATGTATTTTACCATATTATATATCAAGTAGAGGATAAACAATTGTTTGAAAATGATATTAAGAATCAAAGATAGATTCCCAAATCTAATATGGTTTGAATTCAACCAAGAGCATTGTTATAAATCAAAAAACCAAATTAAGATCTTGTAGTTTTACATTTTAAAAATTTCGGTTTACACTAATTTTTGGACCCAATCTTTACACAAAATCAAATTTTAAGACTTTATCATTCAATTGTATCAATTACAAACATTAAATCTATCACTTAAAGATAAAATCTTAAAATTTCTTTTAAATGATGCTCGGCTAGAGTATGAAAATTTGAAATTATTAACATAATAAGAGATTAAATCGTAATTTTTATCAAGAAGACGAAACGAAATGATTTTTTTGAATGTTGAAAAAATGTGCTAAAAGAAAAAAAGTGGGTGAGTGAGAGAAGGATGATAATTACTTGGTTTTGTTTGAGAGCGATAGAAATTAAGATTGAGAGGCAAAATTATCTCATGTTTCAAAAGGCGGACGTAAGAGGATCATGACTGATCGGATTGGGGCACCACAACCCCACAGCCACAAATACGGACGAGTTTTCCGTTACATTCTTGAAATAGATCTACTTTCATTTTTTGTTTTATTCTCTTATAAATTAATTAAGAAGTACCTAAATTGATATATATTCTCACACGTGTAAATTATGTGCTTTCGTATATATATTTTTTAATTAAAAATTTAATATAATCGATTCTTGTAAAACTTGTAAATTAAAAATGAACAATTTGATTTAGTAGTGAATTGAATTTTAAAGTATATTGTTGGACCGTCCATTTTTAACAACCAACGGTTATAAATAAAAATCATTATTCAATTATTATATGAGGATTCACGGATGAGAATATTTTTTGCAGACATATCAATAAGAAAAGATTAGTGGTGGAGGTGGAATCCAAATCATATAACCTTAACTATGGTTATAATTAGACCACCAATCCACCATTTTATTATGCCAATATGTTTCACTAATCATAGCCAAAAACAAACTACTTGGTTAAACATCAATGCGTTAACCTCTCACCTCTATACCCCACATTTTTCCTTTATGCTTGATCAAAATTATATGACCAAATCTTGTGTAAGCATCGAAATGAAAGCGAAGGAGAGGGCATACTTGGAGAGAACAAAACTTTAACTCAGCTAGAGATGAAGATTTTATTCCAATTTTGCATCTTTTCAAGATTATAAGCAACCCTTTTGACTAAATTACATTAAAAAAATCCCCCAAAAGATAAATTAAATAAAAAAAAATGTATTCTAAGTCTAGATGAGGAAAAAAAAAACAAATAAAAAAGACCGGTCAAAAATTTCAAGCTGCCTCTTTCACAACAATCGGTGAATATAACTACGCTGATTGTTAGGCAAACTTCTAAATGTACTTAATCCAAAGTTTACTTTTGTTGATTCATATTTTTTAAAAGAAATAATATTTAATAATTTTAAAATTTAAATTTAGTACTTATAATTTTTTTTATTATGATTTAAAAAAAAACTTAATTGCATTAAAATTGTTGTTAAGTAGGGTGGATTAATTATTACTATTATAAAGTTGGTTGAATGGACTTAAATTTGTTTGTTTTTTTCCCTGCAACTCGAGAAGAACTTTTTTTTTCCTCTTATATTGAGTTGTTGACCAAGCTGGCAATGAAAATGTCATCATCTGCTTCCATTGGAAGTTGGAACAAGCAAAAAATTATAATATCTTTTGCCAAATGAATTTTTCTTTGTAAATTCGTATGTGATGAGTTTCTCAATTTAAAAAAAAAAAAAAAAAAAAACCTAAGAACATTACCTTAGTATTGGGGCATTGTTAACAAAGTGATGACATGACACGCAGGAGGTACAGACCAATCACATTTTAACGTCTTATGGATTAATGCTGATTATTGTAGAAACCTATGATTAAGTGTATGACAATCACTATTGATGGCTGTAAGTTAATGGAGCTGATAAAAAAATTGACCCTTTGCACCTCTAAAGGGGTAAGATAATTAAAAATAAAAAATTAAAGTTGCATTAACCTTATATAAGTATAATCTTATCCATCTAATTTTGTAGATTCTTTTAGGATTAGAGATAAAATCCTTTGATTATGATCAAAGTTGTTAAAGAGAGAAATTATATATTTATTGGCATCAATTTGAAGACAAATGCAAAGAAAAATGATATGTTGAAGGTGCTTACTTCTTCCTTTGATTCTATGCCTAAAGGAATACTAATTTTTCTATACATATATAAAAGAAAAAGCAATGGTACATTGACAGAATCTTCTGAATTGTTCCTGGGTTTATTTTGAAAAAGAAGTCCCTTTCTTATTGGGTCAAGTTAAAGTTAAAACATAAAAAAAAAAAAAAAGAAATTATGAGAAAGGGCGAGAGAGGGAAGTTGACCTTGAGACAATGTGAAGGCTTTTTGTGCGAGATAATACATAGGGAAATAGATGATTGGCGTGGGACTTTTTTTTTTTTTTTTTTGGTGAATGCACACCCCATGTGGAGGCCAATTGCCTTCGCGTTTCTTTGGTCTTGGTCTTTAAATTTGACGGAAGAGGCTCCCCATCGCACTAGGAATTTTTTGGCCACCCATATACCAACCCTAGGGATTTAGGGTACCCTACAAAAAATAATGGAGTGTGAGTTTGGTAGAGCATTAATTTAATTAAATTATTCTAATGCCTCGGAAATATAGTAAAGAAAGGGTGAGATTTGGAAGGTTGGTGTTCATGTTAAAATATGTGAAATCAACAATAGGCAGCTGAAATTTATCGAATATTAATTTTAGTTTGCTTTCTTCGACGGTGGACATTTTCCCCATGCTTGATTCATCTTATTAGATCATCACTTTAGCAATATATATCCCCTTCATATTCTTGAATTTCAAAATTATTTTCATTAAAAATTAAAATAAAAATACTTAAGCTTTTGATCCAATAATAAATACATATATATTCTTTCTATTTACAACAAGTCAATTGTTGAATACAAAAATTAACTTGTTCAAATATTAATCATACATAAAATTAATTTACATCCATGTAATTTAAACAAAGCTATGATAACACAGTAGAACCAAAAAAAAAAAAAAAGAATTTGATTATGAACAACCACTTTTTTGGTGGCATGCTGGCATCTATATATATGTAATGTAACCTCAATTAATGTTTGGTAGCATCTGCTTTTTTTTTTTTTTTTTAATTTTTCAGTAATTAAACTAAGTATAAGGAAAGGGCTGAGATGGGATTTTGGTTTTATCATTGTCTATATAACAACGACGGACTTTTTGACTCATTTTGACACTTTTGTGAGCCGTGAGATCCAATTCTTATGCAAAAGAATCTTGAGATCCATTGGCCCTTTTTCCTTTTCATTCTTTATAGCAATGAGGTCCCGAACCCAATTCATGTCACCTTTTCACGACCAGGAAGAAGAAAATGGAAGGTGCCGGTTGATAATATTGGAATGAGGGGTCCATTTACCCTTTGGTTTTGGCCATTTGATTGGTTTTTTTTTTTTAAAACCAAGCACGTTTCTTCATTTTTGGAAAATAAATCAAAGGGGTTTATTTCATATATTTTCCTTTGATGTATACATGATGTTAATCATTGTACCTTTCTTTCATTTTTTGACTATTCATTTCTCAAATTTTGAAAATTTCTCAACTATCACTTGTTGGAAATTAAAAAAGGGGCAATTGATTATAATGAGTAGAAATGGGAGGCATGGAGGGATGAGAGAGCCATATGATGGTGGGGTCAAAGGAAAAACATCATCATCATCATCATCTTACATATATATATATATATATATATATAATATAATACCAATATTTGGGAGTGGAGAGCCAGAGAGGCGTCTTTAATTTGCATAAAAAAAATTAAGGAAAATGAATGAACCTTAGCCTTAATATTAATCCCCAAACAAAATACTAAAAAAAAACAATGTTGTAGTGGAAGTCAGATAGGAGGCTTAACCTTAACAAGAAAAAAGAAAACATCAACCTCAGCAAGCAAGCATTGGGTGCAATGGATGGATCGAATTATATGAATTAAAGTATTTACTTTTTTGGGTATTTTATTTATATATTTACTACCAGGTGTTACTATATGAATGGGGGAAGAGGTGGTGGTGAGTGGACCTTTGGTGAATTCGAGATGCAAATTGAAGATTTTTCATACGCTCTTTTACTACAAGCAAAACCATAAATCAACCAAAAACATGAAAGTACTCCAAAATCTTATGTAATGGGTATTGTGGGGTATATATAAAAATGATTTGGTGGCTGTGCTTGGATTTTAATGACAAAAGTTTTGGTTAAATCACTCACACCTACTTTCGATGAGGACTGATTTTTGGCTTTAATCAGAATTTTAGAATTAAATGATTGATTGAAACCCTTACGTGTAGCTTTCATGTGCATGAGCGCAGCGTTTTAATAGCATTAATGATTACATGGAACGGAATCAACATTACAACGGCGATTGTTTCAGCAATTCCTTAAACTGATCCTCCAAACTTCAAACGTTTTCAACTTCAATCCGCTTTGTTTTATTATCGTTGCTTCAGCTTGAGTCTCGACACTGAATAATAGGGGTACTTGTGCTATGGACCAAAATAAATTAATCTCCGTATCTTATTTTAATGTGATTACAACAAGCCTGGAACGTGCTATGGTTCAATCACTTTCAATTTATGGATTGCTGCCCAAATCTTGATTTTCGAACAATAGTAAATGCTTGAAAGGTAGCAAGCCCATTCAATAAAAAAATAAATATAATAATAAATAAAGAAAGCCCACAGAATAGAGTCACGTTCAAACCACGAGAGAAAGACTTTGCACTAGTAGCTGTCGTCTTACTCCAGCATCTCAAAATTACTATTTTTTTCATTTAAAAAAAAAAAAAAAAGAAAGAAAGAAGCTAGTACTTAAAAGGTTTTTAGATCTGAACTTCAGCAACATTCTAAGAAATAATAATATAATCAAAATCACTCACGAGTGAGAATTTCAGACAAAAATTCAATGTCAGTTACCAGCCGATTCCTACAGCTTTTTGCTCATAACCCTTTTCAAATTTATCAAAAAAATAAAAACAAAGACAGTTTTATACTACAACTCTTGTCAACATAACACAAAGATCTACAACTTGTGGACAGATGCATTCCAAACAAAATCCATAAATTATGATAACAAAACCAAAGGAAAATGGGGGCTCATTCAACCACAAGCAGTGGACTAACCACTACACAAGGAAGCACAATTCAGTGAGCAACAGCAACTGCAAAATCTAGCACCCACCATCACATTTGATCCTTCATCTTGGTATCAAAAAGCATCCATTCCTCACAAATGCATGCTCAAGGTAATGTCCCAACACTGCAACCACCGAATAGAGAAGAATCCGTGGCCCTGCAATCAAGCAATAAAACAAACCTGTGAAAAGGTACACCCAAAGAAGAAACCGCTATTGAATCCAAACATAAATAGAAGGAATTCATTTTCTTCGGACTTGGAGCAGATATAAATCTGCAATGGATTACAGTGCAAAGAAAAAGGAATCCATATACATAAAGAGAAAAGCAAGAGTTTTAATGGCTGACTTAGCACAATTATTAACTGAGCCTTGCATGATTCCAGATAGGGAGTATAAAAATCACAATTTGGCAGCTTTCAGAAGGTCAAAACATGCAGCAGTCGGAAGTTTAGATGGAGTACCACACACACTATGGCATATGCATGTGGTTCTTGCTTAAAATCAGGATTTTGATAGCAGTCCACACTCATATTTAAACCAAATCTAAAGATCTCCATCACCCCCACCCCAACACCCAACAAAAAATAAGGAAACGTACATTGAAAACAACCAAACCATATCAGAGGATTTTAAGCATAAGTATGAACATGTAGAATATAACAATACCTCCTCATACTCATAATATGGAGTGCGAGAACTTTCTCCAGAAACCCTATGAACCCTAGGTCCGATAAGATGAAGATTTCATCCATACATCTAATCCAACTTTTTACTGACTACGGTTCAGCAAACAACTGTAAACCCTGGTGTTACAGGATACTAGTTCAGTGTTAAAACAGCAGAACAATGGGAAGGAGCCCTGGTCCACCACAATCCCCACAATCCCCCACAATCCCCACATCTAATCCAGCATTCAATTTTTACATAAGCAAGAGAAAAGTAAACATAGTAAGACAAACAAACAGGAAAGCACTTACTCAAACTATTTTGCAATTATAAGTGCTGCAAAGCTGAAGTAATGCCGCTTGATTTGCTGGCTCAAGATTTTCATTAATGACCTGGGGGTATCTCCCAGGGGTAAGTGCAGAAAGTTTTGCCAATGAAGCTACTAAGAATTGCTTTGGATCCTTTACATCAGTCAGAGGATCATCCTCCTTCTTTCCAGCATTGTAAAGTTTAACAAAAGTGGCAGTATATCCCACATTTTCTGCAATATCTGGCATTTCTGGTTCTTCCTCAACTCTGTCCTGCTCAGGCCGTGAAAGAAGGGTAACAATGCTATCCAGCGTTCTGCCCCAGTGTCTAGCAGCTGCAGCATCCACAAGATCTGGAGATTCACAGATGAGCCGGGTTGAAGCAACTGCAGTTAACTTAAGCTCAATTGCTCCAGTGATCAGCTTAAGATTGGGAATCCAAAACTGCTCCAAGATAACCAAGAATATGTTGGCCTGAACTGCATTCATCGTGTCCACTAGATTTTTAGTTCCATGCTTGACTAAAAAGAGTGACATGAAAATCACAAGAGACTTCCAAAATTTTATAGTACGATTGTTTTGGAGGCGCATAAAAAGGACATTCCAAATATTACTCATGTAGGGAGATATGACACCATATTCAAGATTCTCAATAACAGTATTAAGCACATAGAAGCCCTGTTCATCAGTGCTAGAAGATGAGACAAGCATGTTGAATATACCAAGCACCTGGTTCAGTCTCCCCTCTTGATTGAGTTCATGGGGTGCCTTCTGAAGGAAAGCCTGAAGCATACGCACAAGGGCTGGAACATTTGAAGATCTCCTCCATGAATCAGGGGAGAGGAGAAGCACGAAAATCTGCATGTAACTTGGAGAGATGGGTGGTCTGTTCAGCTCAACAAGCTGAGCCAAAAGCTGGAATGCATAAGGCAAGAACTCCGTCACATCATTTGCCAAGATGGTTTGGATACTGGGAAAAAGGCTTGCTTCAAAAGCTGATATAAGGGAGGCATCCCTCTCACATGCTCGTCTGATAAGAATGGCCACAGACTCAAAAAGATAATGGTTAAAAATGGGATTTTTTGGATTTTTACAAACTTCATTGAGAATAGCGGTTAAACCACCAATGCAAGGTCCAGCAATCGCATTGGAGATGTCAGCAATCCCGAGAACACGCATTATACACTTCATTACATACTGATTCTCCTCAGACTCTGGAAATTTCAACGCATTGAAAAGGTTTTTCATCAGCACTGGCGCACAAGGAGTTATATCAGTTGAAGTGTATCTTGCTTTTCCCCCTTCATCCTTGACAAGCAAGAGTTTTTCTATACAGCTTGCAGCATAAGAGTGAACCACATTTGATTCTGCACCCAAAAATCGAACCAAATCGGAGAACAACTGAAATGCAACAGGTTTTTGTATCTGACCACGAAACATTGTGAAGAATTTAATAGCACCTGCCTTGAGCATGGGGAACCCATTCACATCTTGGCTTTGCAACTCAGGGACGATAACTGATGTGAAGAAAGTCTGAACATCCACAAGATCAGTCGAAACAGAAGTACCCCCAGCCTTCCTTGTTGCAAGTGAGACAACTAAATATATGGCACAGTCCTTGTCCTTCCAATTGGCAGAAGGGTTTGTAGCGAAGGAGCTCAACAAATTTTGTATCTGAATAGAAACAATATCAGTCACTTGCTTTTTGTAATTAGCTGCAATTCCTTTAAGCAGTTCGCAAGCGATCCTTCTCCTTGTATCAAGATCACTCCCCTCCATATCCCTCCTTATAAACTCAACATAATTCATCTCAAAAAGCTCCTCATCCTCATCCCTCAACCGCACATTTGGAACCACAATACTCTGACAAATCTGTGGTATTACTCCGTCAATTGCAAACAAAGTATGATGCACGCTCGTGCTAACTGTGGTCAAAAACTTCATTGCAGTAACAGCCAGTTTGTCACGGCTTGAAGACTGAGACACATTTGTAAGCAAACTCCAAACAGCTGATGCAAAATCATTTAAATAACCTTGAAACTCCTCCTCATTCTTTTCCATGTAAAGACTAATATTTTCACATACCGCAGCCCTAAGTTCATCAACCAATGCTAGCCCATCTGCACTACTCTCAACTGAAGGGTAATTCGTGGTCAAATACTTCCTAAATTCACCCATCCAATCTCTCATATGATCCTCAAAGAATTCAGGCAGTTCTTGAAAGTTCAACGAATAGAAAATCCTACAACATAACCTCTGAGATTCAAAGAGTGGCCGTAGGGTCACAGGGGAACCAACACCAGCAGAAGCAGCCGTTGCGTCAATTAATGAGGCAGTTTTAAGAAAAATCTCTAATAAGGGAGCCGCAAAATTATCCAAACAATACTTTAAATCAAGTAAAAGATCGTTTGTTTTATACTGATACCTAAATTTCTTAAAAATTGAATTAGCAGTTCCGAGAATACCGTTAATGGAAGTATAATCAGCGGATTGGGCAGCCTTTTGAAGATTGGATATGAGCTCAGGAAGCAAAGTCGGCCACGATTTTGGGAAATCGTGCTTGCCGATAACAGCTAGGGCTTCGCTGAGCTGGCTTTGAATGCGAGGAGAAGAAGATAACATGAGAGAGACGATTAAGGTTTTGATCTGGTCCTTTTCGGGGTCGAGGATTGGGGAAAATGTGGGGCTGGCGTTGGGATCGTTAGAGGGAACCCAACGTGTTTTGAGGTGGTTCTTGAAGTTAACAGCAGCGGCTTGACGGATCTGCTCGTCGACGGAAGGCTCGGCCACGAGACGGAGCACGACGAGCCCGTAGTTCGGACGATCGGCGGCATCGGAAAGGGAAGCCTCGGCGGCGCGTCGAGGTTCCGGCTGGGGAGAGAGTGTGTGGAGGAAGCATTGTGAGAGGAATTGAAGGGTTTGGGGATTCCACTCCATTATCAAAATAAAAAAAGAATAATTTGAGATCGCCCCAGTATAAACGTAATTAAAAAAAAAAAAAGAGATTTCTACAAGTTTCGAGAAAGAATTCTAGTGTTTAGAAATTTGAAGCAGAGAGAAAAGACAGAGGGAGTTCACCGGAGACTGTAGCACAGTAGCAGCGAGTGAGGGATTGAGAGTTCCTTTTTTTTTTTTGTCAGTAAGGTTAAAGAGGGAAATTTTGGGGATTTTAAAGAGGGAAAGGGGTAGGGACTGTGGACGGTAATTATGGTATAGGAAAGTTTGTGGATGATAATTGGGCTTTTGAAGAAGATAAAAGTTGGGCCATTTTTATCAAAAGAGGATTAGTGGACCCAAAATTCCAATAACAAAAAATTCAACCGTGATCACTAAGCTCTGTAGGCAATTGGTGTGCTTTTATGTTAAGTCTAAAACAACGCCTTTTTTCACTAAGCCCAATATAGAAAATAGTAGATACTATCCAATAGTAAAATTGTTTTGGGCTATGGGCCATCTCGGTCGATGTCCGATTTATAGTTTTCATAAAATTTATCTTCAATTTTAGCTCCAAATAATGTATGAATGTTAATTGTTTATATATATATATGGCATAATTAAAAATTTTATTTAAAACAAGAAGAAGCAAAGTCAACTACCTTGAGTATCAATGGAGGATAGCCATCAATTCAAATATCAACCATGTTGCTGGCTTATGCCCAAAGTAGTCAGTATCTCATCGATACCTGAATCGATGCGTTTCAATGTATCGACCGTACCGATACAATACTAATAACATCGCTTATACCTCAATTCTTACAAAGCTCATAGTTTAACGAATTAACACATTTTACATAAGCAGCAATAAGTTGAAAAACCTCTTCTTGAGACCTTATGCTACTTGTATGCTTTGCTGACTTTCTTTCCTTCCATATATAGTAAATAACAGAAAGCCAAACAAATCTCAACTAAATGGTTTCCTTTGAAAGTTGGAACTGTCCATTTCAAATTGGCATTCTAGCTGATAAAGTTTCTATTATTAAAACATATTAGACAATGTTTTTGTTGAAAGTAATAAAGAATTGCATTATCAATGAAGAATTTAACTTATGAACTATGTTTTGCATTGGAAATTGGTGTTTTAACTTAACTTCTATGACTTACCTTATTTTCATTCTTGTGTCACGGGTCGAGATTTAAGCTTTGAATCCGCATGGCTTCGAGATCTGGGCATGCACTCATCTGATGTCCCAAATCAACCTTCCTATCATGGTTCACATCCTTGTGAGGTATTATCCGCTCTGGTCCCCTTGATCTTACGATTTTGTCCTATAAAAAGCGTCTCACAAGGTATAGGTGGTGTGAACCTTTTTATACTCCAGTGACTCTCATATTATGTTCGATGTGAGATTTAAGACTCTTTTTTATATCCGTGACACTTGTACTTTGCTCCATTGAGGTTAAACTTGTGGATAAGATCGTATGCTGAAGTGAATGGAGGCAAGTATAAGGTTGGCTGTCTTAGCTATGTTAGTTTACCAATCAGGTATTTGAATATGAAGTATGTACAAAAGAGAATGCATGCTTTCCTGTAGATTGGCAAAATTAGTTGATTATGACTTTCATGGATAAATTATTAGAATATTCAACGAACAATTTATAAATGGACTTGATTTTGATAAAGGAATAGCACAAACTTCTATCAATCCATATATGGCAAATTGGAAATCGGCCGAATTAAAATGACAAATTTTGATTAGCTGGAAAACCTATAACCAAACCAATGTGGTGAATGAAATTCCAGAAACACTCGCTAAGAAAAAAAGGTGGAAAAGATGAAACTGAAGAATGAAGTAATGTCTGGTGTCCTAAAGATAAGTTTTGGCTCTTCTCCTTTTTCAACATTAAATGGAAAGTCTTGTTGATTGTTAGATGAAAAGACACATCAGCACAACAAGAACAAAAGTAAAGGAGCCAAATCTCAAAAATTAAGTGGGGGGTTTCAATACCAAGTATCCCTTGAACATAGTACAATCATGCAAAACAGAAACTCCAATTTGACATGGACACCTTTGAATTTCTCTCCACAGCTTTCCAACTTAGACATGGCATATATATATATATATATATATATATATATATATGTACAAATACAAAGTAAATAAGTTACGTGTCTGGGTACACATCCAGTTTTGTGGTACCAAAAAACAAGGAATGATTTAAATCGAAGAACCCAACAAACCCATTAATTTTTTTTGACATCCTTCTTACCTTCCACTTCTTGTTTTAGGTGTTATTCATATGTTTTCACATACACCCCCCCAACATCAGCATTCAGCTCAGTTTCAAATCCCATATATCTTTAACGTATAAATTCATAGATTTATCATTAAATATAATTTAAAAAATCATCATTAATTTTTTTTAGATACAATTAATTACTTAAGTGAATCTGTTTTTTTTTAAGAAAAATCTCAAACTTAATTTAAGTATTTTTAAAAGGTAAATTTTATATTTATGAAACTAAGATCAGATTGGAGAGTACGACTATATATAAGAAAAGTTATAACATCTTCATAACACTAATCAAATGATAGTATCAATTTGATTTCATGTTATCCAAACCTTAAAATATTTTTAAATTTTTACCAAGTAAATTAAATTTTTGAAAATTGATCTTAAAATTACTCTAATCATTTTATAGTGATTTTAGATAATTTTCTCACCTTAGGAGTATTCATGAAGACTCGTATCCAACTCTGAAGAAGCTCCATAGTCGAATTCATTAATATCTTTTCTAAGAAATTATTTTTTGAAAGCAAATAATAAAGTTCTCCAATCGTTTTGATAAGATTTTATATCATGCATATTGCCTAATCATTTAGTGGGATTTTTATTTGAAAACCTCAAAATTTTCTTTTGAAAAAAAAGTCATTAAATCCTTCAATAGTTCATTAAAATTTAATGAAAATTTGAATCCTACAATCTTTAATATGATTAAAAATTTAATTTTTGAAAATTCGTTATGAAATTCTCTAATCGTTTGATATAATTCATAATTTAAGATTTAAATTCTCTAGTCATTTGATAGGAATAATGAATTTATTATAAAAATTTATTTTAAATACGCACAAAAGAAGAAAGAGAAACAACAAAATCATATAAATAAATATACAAATAAAAAAATAAAAATTACCTTGTCTTATTTATTGTTTCTCTACAAAATAGGTTATAGCTTTGCTAGCATCTATCATTTGTGGTGATAGCCTCTTTTTTTTGGTTTAAATAAAAATCAAATAGAAACCGAAAACATATATACCCAAAATTCTAAAAAATTTTACTGCAAAAACATTTTGTTTAAATGCCTTCCTTTTATGTTTCATCTCAACTCATTTTCCCAACACAGAACTCCCAAGAGAAAATCCTAATTATCTAAATCTAAAACGCCAAAAAAGACTATAAAAAAAACTATTAATTTTTTTTCTCTCTTGATTTTTTGATTGATTTTTCATTATATCTAATTAATCCTAGTGGGTCTCTTCATAGGCCTCTATTCCAAATCACAATAAGAGAACGTTTTTTTGTTTTCAATCTCTTAATCAAAGTCAATTTTAAATTTTTAATCCAAATCCACCTCTCAAATCAATACATTTCATTTTTCAATTAGAACACTAGACTTCAAACCGAATCAAACTTTTCCCTCTTTTTTTTTTAAACCATAAATCAATTAATTACCAAAATAAATAATCTTAAACTAAACAAAATACTAAAATCCTAAAATTAAATTAAAAAATACCTTGGACTAAATGGGATGCCTATAGCTGTCTCTATTTGCGCATTTTTTATGAAACATGAATTGTACAAAAATAAAAGACATCCATTTTGTTTGGACATAGAAAAATCAAAAAATAAAATTATAAAAGTTCCTCATCAATAAGGCTTAACAACTTCAAAATATAAAATGCTCCTTTAATTAGAGGTTCAACATATTTGAAAAATATAAAAATTTAAATATTCTACTCGGAAGACTTAAGAATCTTGTCAAGAAGACTTGGGATTACAGCTAAAGGTCTTACAAATCTCGACATGAAAATAGATTCAGCTTAAAAAATTTACGAATTTTGTTCGAAAGACTTAGAGACTATTTTCGGAGGTCTTACAAATCTTAACATTTAAATACTCCACTAAATAGAGGTTTTACAACTTTAAAAATGTAAAAAAGATTCTTATCTGAAAGAGATTAAGTATTCATTCAAATATTTAAATTGAAAATTCGAGATTCTCACTAAAAGATTATTGAGATTTGCATAAGTCTTCAAGATTCAAATATTCACATTTAAAAATCTTGGAGATTCACATCCAAAATATAAAGATTTTCATTTGAAAAGTTCAAATCTAAAATTTAATGTCTCAAGGATTTACATATGAGATTCTCATCTTATGATAGAAAAAAAAAAAAAAACTTTCTCTAAACAAAGTCTATGAAACTTTAAAGTTGGAATAACTTCTTAACCAAGATTTACTAACTCTTCTTGAAATCATTCTCTTCATCTAAAGGTTTTAAACTTCGTCTTCATAATATTTTCCTTATATGATGATCAAAATCATATAAAAAAGTATTATTTTTTAAAATTTTAGTTTTTCTAATATTTTACCTGAAGATATTAAAAATTATGTTTGGAGGTCTTACAAATTATGCTCAAAAGTCTTATAAATTATGCTCGAAGGTCTTACAAATCATTTCTTATCTTTGAAAAAACTTATTTTTAATAAAAGTTTTAAAACTTAAAAAAAAATCATTTCTTTGAAATAAAAACATCTTATCTTAGAAAAGGTTTCACCCCCTAATCAAGGTTATACACTTTTACAAATCTCATTTTGAAAAATTTTTAGCCTAAAACTTATCACTTTTGTTTTGAAAATTTTTCCTTAACCACAAATTGAACTCTCATACTTAACTAATTTTTCTCAAGTGAAGGTCAGAATCTCATATTTCCAAATTCTCAACCTTTCAAAATCAAAATCCAAAGTTAATTGAATATGTAATGAATGAGATGAATGCCATGCATGTAATGCAAAAATCAATGTCATGAATCTTTAATTGTGGTACATAGGTCTTTAAGCCCTTTTTTCATTTTTTGTCATAGAGATTTTGAACTAGCTAACAAGCTAGTTTTCAACAATAATCCTCCATCCATTTCTTTTGACTTAA